ATGACTTAGATGAAGAAAATATGGCGTTTCAGCCTAAGCCTATAATCTACGAAGGTTTCCTAGTGTCAAAATTTTTCTACCCATTTTTTATGTGATTTTCATTCGTTCCGCGGTTCTAGAACAGTGCCATAAAACTTTAGAAATGAAAAAAGAAAAAACAAAAAAAATGATTTCAGAAAAGAATAATTCAACTGAAATGAGCAAAAAACAAGAAACTGTAGTATTTTGGAACATTTTGGGGACTTTCCCAACCATGACTCTGACACCTTCTGAAAACCCCCGTTTAATATTTAAACCCCCGTTAATTCCCAAAACCCCTTCAAATATTCAAAACCCCCGTTAATTTTTTAAACCCCCGTTAATTGTTTAAACCCCCGTTAAATCATAAAGAGCCATTAGTTTCAGGATTCCTAAAGGAATAGGTTTTGTTCCAAAAGCTCATACTATCTAAGTCTGGTTCCCTATTCATATTTACCTTAACTGGAATCATGTTGAACTTTGAGGTAACTGTATAAGTAACTAGAAAATAATCATCCAAGTGTTGACACTTAATTTTCTTCCAGTTTAACTTTTTTGATTGATCACGTGGATAAGCCGTGGCTCTTGACTTGAATAATAATGTGTCTCCTTGACCTGATTTTCTCAAAAACTATTGTTCCAGGCCGTTTTTCCTTATAATTCAACACCTGTACTATCCAAACAGTTTATAAGAGTAGCCAGAAAAAAAAATTAAGAATCATTACAAAAAAAGTATACAGTGATTTCTGTTGTTTTGAACTATTAGGTCAAAAATTTGGGGGTTGAAAATATCACTTCAACGGTTTTGACGCATATGATATAATGACTTGAGGGAAAAAGTGATGCAGAGACTCTCAAAACATCTGCTATGTCGAAATCCGAATGAACCATGAAGAGAGATCAGTGCTTGAAAAAGAAACAACATTATTTTACATCATAATAGTACATTTCGGATTTTACATCATAATAGTACATTCCGGATGAAAAAACACAAATTGACACTGTCAGTCCATCTTTCCGTGTGATCTCAAAGCTTCCTTCCACACCAGACACTGGAAACGAATACATTTTCAAATTTCTAAATTTTTTTAGAATGCAATGATCTCGATTTGTTATACCGGGTTCCGATTTTTCACGACCTCGCGGTTGGAAACCTGAAAAGAGTATGTTTTGTCTCACTCTCTAATTGAGGTTTCTTTCCGCGATACCTTGACTTTTTAGAATTGCTGTACTCGTTAGCCTGTACGGCAAAAATTTTGTTCCATTCGATATACAAAAGAAAAACTCACGGTTCAGGTATTTTGGTCCCATTTCGTATGGTATATCTCTCACTATCAGACCAACCTCAATGAAATCTTCTCTATTATGATAGTTAGATTTACAGTGGCAAACGTTAGTGAGTGTCACTCTATACTTTTGTTCATAACTTTGTTCATAATTTTGCTCAAACTTGTCCAATCATTGAAAACTTTTTTGTTCAATGTAGCTGGTTTTCCAACAAAACGTTGCATAAGTTTTTTGAAACTCGATCAATTTTGAAGCGGTTTGGAACACTTGCTCTTCAGATGTGCTCACTGGAGCATAAAAAGTATGGTTCAAGAGTTTGGCTATAACTCGGCTCAAAATAATCCAAATTTGTCCAAATTTTGAGAGAATGTGTGTCTTATATTTTGCTTTACGATGTAAATACAAAACTTTGTATTTTGGAAACAAAAAATTTTCATTATTTTTCCATTTTTATGTACCGAAGACAAGATATGTATTTTTGTTCCCAAAATACAAATTTTTGTATGTATAATGTGAAGCAATTAAAAACACACATTCTCTCAAAATTGGATTAATTTTGGATTATTTTGTGCCGAGTTATAGCCAAACTCCAGATTCATACCTTTTATGCTCCAGTGAGCACATCTCAAGAGCAAGTGTTCCAAACCGCTTCAAATTTTTTTTGTAATTATTTGATCTACATCCAACATTTTTCATCACAGAGCCAAAAAAAAATTCTGACGGAATTTTTTTTTCTTCCGGAGTCATCGTCACGTCTGTGAAGATCCAGAAGACACAAAAATTGATTGAGTTTTAAAAAAATTTATACAACGTTTTGTTGAAAACCCAGCTACATTTAACAAAAAAGTTTTCAATGATCGGATAAGTTTGAGCAAAGTTATAAACAAAAGTATAGAGTGACACTCACTAACGTTCGCCACTGTACTTCGAAGTGTTCCAAATTGTTATGAGATTTCATTCGCATCCAACTTTTAAAGAAAAAGTTCATATCTTGATTAGTCAGATATGTGTCAAGTAATGAAAATTTACTCATTCTTAAGCTCATCAAATAGTTCAATGTTATCCATGGTCCATAACCGAACTCCAGTGGACGCTGTTCAATTGTCTCCACGAAGATTTTCAATCTATCTTTGTACTTCACATTATCCAACACGTATTGAAGCTTTTGTTCATGTTGGTTGTTTCCATAAATACGTACAGTGGGAATTTCCCGGAAAGTTGAATTCAACCAATACACAACTTCCCAAAACTGTTCTCCGAAGTCGTCCATGTAAAACACTAGACAATCAATGTCAATATGCATCGAGCTTCTGGCATGCATATAAAATTCCTTCATAGCATCCAAAGGATTTTCAGAGTATTTGGTAAGATATTCCCGCGACTCGTCTGGCCATGTCTTGATCGTCCGAGTTCCGTCTTCCTTTTTCTATCTAAGAAAATTTCGATCTTAAATTATTCGTTATTTGATGAGCTTAAGAATGAGTAAATTTTCATTACTTGACACATATCTGACTAATCAAGATATGAACTTTTTCTTTAAAAGTTGGATGCGAATGAAATCTCATAACAATTTGGAACACTACGAAGTAAATCTAACGAATCCAGAAGAGTTCATTGCGATTGGTCTGAGAGATATACCATACGAAATGGGACCAACAGTACCTGAACCGTGAGTTTTTCTTTGCTATATCGAATGGAACGACATTATTACCGTACAGGTTAACGAAAATTTTTTAAAATTAAAGTTTATTCGTTTCCAGTGTCTGCTGCTATACTGCTGTGGAAGGAAGCTTTGAGATCACACGGAAAGATGGACAGACAGCGTCAATTTGTGTTTTTTCTAATGGAATGGGATTTTCTGCAGTTATGACTACTCGACTTCCATTTTTCAAAAAAGTTGATACTAAAAAAAAGAAAATTTCGATCTTCTAGCAACTGTTTAAAAAACGAAATACATTTCAACTAGTATTGTTTGACAATAAACATCAAGAAACTGAAAACAAAGCATACTCACTAATCAATTGGGTTTAAACTATTGAGAACTTCTCGAATAGCGACGTAATTTAGAGAAAGAAAGCGGAAACGGGCCTGATTCATCATCAGTAATTTATCATCATCATCAGTTTGGGATTGATCAGAAAGCGATCCTTGGCGAGACGGAAACTTATAATATTCATACAATAGGCAGCCAAACAAACAAAGGTCCGTGAAGTTAATGGTGACGTTGACAGCTGATGCACAGAATATCATATACCAGAACATGTGTAGTATTCTGTTTATAGCGGTGACAGAATAGATGATACTGAAAAACCAAAACCTATATTTAATTTTTGAGCTTTTTCATAAATCGTGCAAACAGGCAAAGAAATAAATTATGCGCCACCATGTATTTGTTCGCATGAATAGAAATTTGATCACATTAGATTGTCTTCATTTAGTCAGGAAGGAAAGGCTGCTCTCTCCCTTTAGATAGAAGTTCTGACTCTCGTGAGAGAGTCGGTGAGAGAGTTGTGTTGGTGTGAAACCAGATGACATGTATTTCATATCAGCATAGTATTTTCAGAGAAAAATAAGGAAATTAAACACAAATAAACTCACAAATCAGTTGGGCTCAAAATATTCCGAACTTCTTGAATGTCGAAGAAATTGAGGTGCAGATATTGAAAACGGGCTCGATTCTCTATCGACTTTTTGGGTTGAGGTAAAGACGACGCAATAGGTCGGAGGGCAGGCTTGCCTCATAGCCTGTCATGGACAACACTTTTGGAGGTCACTTTTACGAAGAACACATAGATGGACGGACCACTCTGACAGTGCATCTCTGACACGGGAACACCGGACACACACACAGAATTTGGTGATTGTTAATAGTAAAGATAGAAGCAACATTTTACTAGCAACTTTCAAACAATTTATCTCGGATTTTGTCAAATAAATTGAATAGTTTTCGACTGAAAAGATGGTTTTGCAAAAAAATTTTTGATATTGTGAGAATAATTTTGTTAATTAACCACTTATTGATATCATACTTATGAACGGAGTTAAATTGGGTTCAAGTTGACAGTGTGGGGGCCTTCTATGTCGGGTTACCTGATTTGATGTACTTTGAATTTAAAAATGTGAAACATCTATTGGGAATTTCCAAAAATGACGAAGGGACTTGACTGACGGACCTGACAGACGAGCCTGACAGACGAACCTGACGGACGGACCAAATTCGCTTTAAAAGTTTTGGCTTTTAAAAACTTTTTTCATGGTTTACGAATTCATCAGCTCCCCAGGCATTTTCCTCTGGAGACAATGAACCATCTTTTGAAGTTCCCTTGAAGTATAATCACGACAAATTCTAGCAAACGACACTCTGAAAATGGGGAACTTCTAGCAAATGAGCTTATCTAGCAATTGAGTATTTCCTAATATTTCATACTTTCTCCTCTTTTATATATATTTTTAACTGCTCTTTTTTTGTACTTTCTATTCCTGTTAGAAAAAATTTGGGTCATGCTCTGCAGACTTTTCGTATTAACAAAGGCATTATTAGAGTCTACGATTTTGGATTCTTTCCAATTTTTACAAAAAAAATTGTTTTCGATTTATTTGGACCTGATTTTTCGCGAATTTTACGAACTCGTGTTCTGTAAACTTTTATGCACATCCCTTGCGGGTATTTAACTAGAAGAAAAGTCGAGTTTACTGATTCGTTTATTGAAAGGGAAATAGCATTACATAAACCGACATTCTGGACAAAACTATTGTCCGAAGAAAAAATAAAACCAAATCTAGAAACATCCGACTGAATTAGTGAGCGGGAGCAGCGATGGCTTTGGCAGCTTTTCTCTCGGCACGGGCAATTTCGGCCTGAAAATTAGTAGTTGTTTACAAAAAAGGTATTCAGCAGTACCTTTCTGTTCTGGTTCCACTTGAACAAGAAGTACATTCCAACGTAGCTGACGAGAGCGGCGCGACAGATGTTGGCTCTTCCGAATTGCTCATGTGGGTTCAAGTAGAGTCTCTTGGTTTGGACAATGGATTGCCAGATTCCACGGACAGTATCAGCCATCTGCAACAACAGTTTAGAAATCAAGCATTCGGAAAAATATCAGTCAATCAAGTATAACAACTCGGGATAGAACCGAGATCAACAGAAGGAAAGATGACAAAGTAAGATATAGTAAATTCATGAAAGCTTCTTCTTGGAAAATTATCAAATGTGAAGGGAGTACAATATAAGTAGATGGGCTAAGAGCAAAATTGTATATTAGGGGTGAGTATGAGTCACAAATATTACGCAAAATAAAACGATATCAAATATCAAGCTTGGGATAAGTTATGTGACAAGAACCTATAACAAGCCTCACAAACAAGAATGATTTTGTGATACTAACAGACGGAATGGTTGTAAAAGGCCGCATGGGATCATAGGAATGAGTTCAAATTTTGGAAAAATGCCTGAAACACAATTGCTAGTTATGAGAGGAAATACGGCAAAATAAGGTCATCTCTCTTAATAGTTTTGAAGTTAACAATTAATAAATTATAAAGATTGCTCGATAAGTTTGGCGACTTCGTGGCAATCAACAACTCCCGAGTATTTGATATCTTCAGCGAATTCTGTAATCTCGGCGTCAGTGACTGCGCTCAACGCTTTCCTCCAGAAGCCTAACGGCGCACTTGACGGCATTTTCAGGCTCGAGAACTTTGTTTGTTTGGACCATTCCAGGAGATTCTGGTTGTTCTTCACACTGACGAGGTAGAGAGTCAGCATCACATCGCGAACGAACTGAAAGAAAAATTTCAGTTAAAGATCTTGAGACTTGAATAATTCGAAAGCGAAAAACTACTATAAGGCTTTGTATTTTTAATTCAAATATTTAAAAAAACCCCCCCCCCCCTCATTTCTTTTAGTTCATAAATACTAACCATATTACTATCCATGAGCTGTCTCTTAATGTTGTCCAAGTTCAAAGCACCGACAAGATACTTGAACTGATCAGGGTGTAGATTTGAAACTTTCTGGTGAACAACTGGCAAGATGTCAAGAACTATCTCTCCGTACATCTTTTTGCTAACGAGTCCTGCCGCTATCATTAGAGACAGTATGATTCTGGCCTGATCTCGTGGACCGACGACTTTGAGCGTTCTAGTTAATACAGCTCTTCCCTTTGACATCTGCATCAGCTTAGGCAAATCGTCGCCCATAAACTCATCGATGATCAGTGACGTACGTTTTTCAACTTCTTGTTCTTTCTCCTCGCTGAAAAAAAAATTTCATCGATGTTAGCTCAATCAATTTCGAATACCTGGTTAGATCTTTGAATTGTGACTTATCCGAAGAACTGGTTCTGCGCAATTCTTCAGCTTCCATTAGAAGCACGAGGGCACCTTCCAAACGCAAAAGCATCGTTCGAAGCTTCTTCTGCACGGCATTTTTTCTTTCTTCATCTGATAATTTCTTGGCTTGATTATCTACGCTATCAACTTGAGCTTTCATATCCAAAACATGTCGTGGGTTGTGAGTAGACGATTTGGATGGTAATCCTAAGCTGGTAGCAAACTTATCAGTAAGAGTTTGGCGAGGTTTTCTTTCTTCTCCGCGGTCGATTCTTTCTTGCCTTTCTCTCTGGCGCTCCTTCTCTCGGTCTCGTAGCCGTTCTTTTTGCATTTCTCGATAGTTCATGCGTCTGATTCTTTCGAGATAATCTTTGCGTGATTCAGAAGATGCCGGTAAAGGTTGCTTTGATTCTGGTTTGGGGTGAGCTGTCCAGCCATTCGCGATTTGACTTTCGCGCCATCTCTGAAAAACAACAAAATTATAAAACCGAAACATTTGCTTCGAGTACCACATAATAGTAATCATCGATGCATGGATCACCGGAGCCTTTGCACTGCACGAATTGAATTCTGATGAGCCATTCTCGTTCTTTAAAAGACATATAGCCAGCGAAAGAATCGAGAGCTAAGTCGTATATGGTTCGAGTTGATGGCATTCCCGAATTTCTACGTTGCTGTCCTCGGGCTCCCGGACTGTGAGGACCAACTTGTGGACCACTAAACTGAGGACCATTTGGTCTCGAGTTTGGCGGAATAGAAGAGTGGACGATCATAGCATGGACAAGTGATGGATTCTGTAAAAACAATATTTTTAAATGGAGAACAGCTACCAACATACGCGATAATGATTTAACAGCTGGTACAGAAACGGTGGAATCGGTGGAACACCCATCGGTAGTTGCATATTGTTAACGATAGCGCCGAGCCAAATAGGGACAAGTGGGAGGTATTGCGGGTTCAATGGTGGAAGCCGCGGCAACTCTTGCATAATTGCTCCCATCTGTTGGTATCCCATTGGAGGTGGAGGCATTTGCATCCCTGGCATACCCATTGGAGGTCCCATTGCAGGATGTTGAGCATTTTTCATATTCGCAGTGAATCCTGGTGGAGGGTGAGCAAATCTGTTACTTCCCTGAGGTGTTTGCTGAGTATTGGCGACATTCACGGTCTGAGACTCCCGAATTATTTTCTGTTCAAGTTCTTCTAATGATAGTGCCGAAACCGGCAATTTTGGTAGCGTCTGAGCCTTCAATGGTTCTCCCGGTGCCGACTGTAGAGTAGTTGGTGCCTGTTCAATTTTTGATTGTGCATTGGTGCTTCCAAGTTGTAAATCATTGAGGGCGGCTGTCAATGTATCAGTAGAATCGCCTAACTGCATACGCTCAAAATCTTCCAGCTTAAAACTTATCAGATTGAGAAATTCATGATACAACAAACACGTTACCGTTAATGCAGAACTGGGCATAGATGGTATTTGCGATGACGGTTTTTGCTGAACCAATGGTGAAACTTGTTGAGCTTCGTTTGGAGCTATAGAGTTATAGTCTAGATCGAAACTCGACGAAGGAGGTACTGCCGCAATACCAAAATCAGATCCCCAAATGTTAAAAGAACTGTCTGCTCCGTTTCCCCAGATTGATTTCTTCTTAAACAAAATCATTCAATCTTCTTTAACAAGCAAAAACAAACCAAGAATGGAGATTCAGCTTCAAAGCTTGATTTGAACGTGTCGCTGCTGTCCCCATTTCCAAAGGTGGGAAAAGGGATTGCAGATGCATCTGGTGCAACTTGATCTGATGATGATGGATGATGCCATACTGGATCGTCGAGTCGGAGACGAGCAGTCTGAAAAAATAAAGAATGATATGCTCGCACTAAACAATTTACTTGCCTGCGTTGCATAGTTTTCTAACTCTGCGTTTTCGCCAATGTTGTCAAGCCCTCCTCCGAATGTTTCATCGTTGGCGGCATCGAACTCATCGTCAAAAATGTTGTGTTCTTCATCGCTATCTGCTAGGGACTCGGGGAAATCGTCTGAAAATATGCAATGAAACAAGAACAACATGAATGAAATCTTACCGAACATTAATTCTCCTTCAATCTCCTCGAGAGTTTTACCATACTTTTTAACTTCATCCATACCCGATCGTTTGAGTTGATGATTAGATGTCCGTCAAAACCTGCAAAAAATAGGTTTAAGACGCTCCGAATTGGGTTAAACTGAGAGATAAATTTATGAATGCTCTTGGCATGCATTCCGATAAGATAATAATTGGCTTACCACAGCCATAACTATCGATTTTTTCAGAAGAATGTTCCCTAATTGTAAAAAAACGAATCATTGAAAAATTGAGCAAAAAGATCGATTTTCTGTGGAAAACGCCTGCTGTCCGCCCGTACACAGCCTCGTATTTCGCAGCAAAGAAAATGTCGTCGCGATGAGACCAGCTGGCTAATCACGAGTGTGTGCCTTTAATCAGAGACCATGAGAAAATGAGAGACCCCAGAGAGCGCAAAACGAGGCAATTCAAAAATACTTTTTCACAGCAATGTTTCCTCTATCAGAGAAACATTTACCGTAAAACCTGTATTAGAAGAGCCCCTTCAATAAAAGAATCAACGAAAAGCGTGTAACTTTTCTTTTGTAATTCATGTCATTCTTCTGTCTGAGAGCGTGCAGTATGCATAATTTTGTTATAAATGAAAGAACATATAAGTAATCTTACATTATTTATTTCAATGTATTCAATGAAAATCAGCAAAGCTCCAAAGAATATGAACACTTTATCAAAGAAAAAAACATATTATTCATTGAATGTAGTAATGATTGGTTCATGGAAGCTAAGAACACCCTTTTCAACTGCTTCAGTGTATAGTTCTCGATCGCAAATCATCATATTCTCTCGTTTACCAGCGACAAAATCATTGAATTCCTGGATCAAAAACGTGGCGAATGGAGTTGCTTGGATGAACGCATCCGATCGAGCAGCCTCGTCCCATACACACTGAGAAATCAACTGCTCTTCAGAAGGATCAGGATGCTTCGAGTCGAACACGTATTCCTTTTTGTAGTCGTCAATTTTTTGTTTGCATATCGCAACTTGTTCAGGAGTCATTTCAGGAAACCATTCCCTTGTTCGAACAATTCGATTCTTCTTCACATCGTCATACATTTTCCTCATTTCTGAACTTCAGAACTGTTATAGTAAATTTATAAAGCGACTCACTAGCTCCCAAAAACAGAGTTTGATTGAATACGAATGGTGCCAACCCTAAATTCTTCTGTTGATTTCCCATCATTTTCAGTCGCTCTCCCAATTTCGGATACCATTTTGAATGATGATTCACAATATTCCACATTGTTTCTAGCAGTGATCCTGATATACGCGCAGGAATTGTAAGCTTAGGAAGAGGATGATTCAGAAGGCCTCGAACCATCATTGATGCACTTTCCGTGTAGTTGTATGGATGGTAGCCTCCTTCCAAGATAGCAATAGTTTTTCCAGGGCAGATTTCATTGCACAGACGAGCCATGTGACCGTACCTAAAAAGTTGAAAAAGCTCGAAGTTGATTTGAAAAATGAATTCGAACCCATGAGCCTTGACTCCTTGTCCAAACTCCATCATGATATCATAGTATCCCGAATCGAAACCAGCTGAGATAAGAATCAATTCTGGTTCAAACTGTCTCAGCATTGGCAGAACAACATGATGGAATACCGATACAAAGTCTCCTTCAGAGTTCAGTGTTCCATTCAGTGGAACAAATAAAGTGTTCGCTGAAAAACTCTAGAAATTTAATACAATAGAAATTTATAGATTTACGATTATTGGTTGCATAATCATATTCTCTACTAAACGGCCAAAACGATCCATAATGATGACCATGGAAAGATGTGAAATGAATCCTCGGTTCATCTTTAACAGATTGAAATGTACCGTTTCCAGCATGGTAATCAAAATCCACAATTGCCACTTTCTTAACATCCAATTTCTCGATTGCATACTTTGCAGCAATAGCGACATTGTTGAAAATACAGTAACCCTGAGGAACATTTCCATAGGAGTGATGCCCTGGTGGACGAACAATAGCAAATCCATTGTGGATTTTGTTTTCAACAGCAGCTTTGACGAGTTCAATAGAACCTCCAATGGCTACACGAGCGGCTTCATTTGTGTTTTCACAAGTCCACAGGATCTCCTTATCTTTACAATACTCTTCACACTTTTCTGTTGTATTCAAGCTAATAATTTCGTCAATCAGCTCCTGAGGATGGTTGAGACGGATTTCAGAGTCATCCGCTTCACGTGCCTCAATCTAAAAAATTTAAAGCTTCTGAAATTTCTGAAGATCATTAAGACCCACTTTTAATGCTTTTTCGAGAAGTGTATCATCCTTAATTCGTTCATAGATCAATTTCATTCTCTTTGGACATTCCGCCATCGTAGAATCATACTTACACTCATGCCCAAGCATCCGTTCATCATAAACATATCCAAAAGGTTTAGAAGACATGTAGCGCTGGAATTTTAATTTTTTAAGATATAGAAATTCACTCAAAACTTTGAAAAAGATGATTGAAATTTCTAATAGCATCGTAACAAAAAATACCAAATTTGAAAGGTAACCGAATCGGACGGTCGTTAGTGACCTCTATCGTAATCGGCCAAACATTACGATGATGAAAAACTACTGATAAGTAATCGTAGAACACAAAAATTGCAATATTGTGAGATGTGTGTAATGTCAGTCACTTTTTTTGACTTGTGTACTACTTTCCCTATCTTCCTATTGGATCTAATCTAATCTAAAAAAATAGAAAAAATACATTTACTGTAACACCTGTATTAGAAGGGCCCCTGTAATAGAAAGGCCCCTCTAATAGAAGGGCCCTCCTAGAGGGGCTTGGAAAAATAGAAGGGCTGTAATAGAAGGACCCCCGTTATAGAAGGTCCCCTTGTAATAGAAGGACCCCCGTAATAGAAGGGCCCTTTGGGAAAAATGACCACGTTCAAAAAGTGTTTTGAAATTAGAAAATTTCAGCACTTTTTCAGAAAAAAATTCCTGGAACTCCATAATTTAATAGAAATTTGTTGTAACTGCATTTTTCAATGAAAATCTTGCTAAATTTCGGTGAAATTGGCAGATTTATATGAATTTTGAACGAAACTTCGTCAAATGTTTCGATGCAAAATTTCGGAAAAAACTGGCCGGAAAAATAGAAGGGCCCCTGCAATAGAAGGGCCCTGAGGAGGTACCTTGGAACAATAGAAGGGCCGGCCCTTCTAATACAGGTTTTACGGTAAAATAGTTGCTATCATTGATAGGTAACAACATAAAATAGATACACAGTCAACAATTGTTGAACTAGACTGATTAGCATAAGGTTCTTACATTCCAGAGTAAACCGAAATATATGACACGAGTGCGTCAATATTCAGCAGAAAATCAGGGGTAAACGGTTTACAAAAAACAAGTTTAATTCTAGGGAATCGAGATGTTAGTCCAAATTGAAGGGACCACATTGCTCCTCTCTTCCACTCAAAAGGCTCACTTATTCTGGAAAACACTTCCTGAGCATTTACTCCCACATCTAGGAAGTGTATGAGTGACACAAATAGCTATGGGTAGCAGTTTTCTTTTAAGGAGTTTCTTCCCAACGATGAAGTAAGTTCTGTTAACCCTTTGTTTTACTGCAAAACCTATGATAGCTCCTTGACTTTTCTATTTAAGACAACTTATTTCGATTCTTATCAGAGATATAAAAAAGTTGTTAACTTTTAAATTGCTTATCATAATTTTAGAAGTGTTTTGTCAGTTGACACATTTTTGATATCTTTCACAGGAAACGAGATAAGTTAGCTCAAACTTGATGGTTTTACTTTAATGTTGATCTGTTTTTGTTATAAAAGCACCGGATTTGTGTTTGATAATTCGTGATTACTTTTTTTCTGTCTTCTAAAGCTACTTCAATTGTACAAAATCGGGATCTTGCGCATCTATTAACCTTCTTATATTTTCGGGGATACTGTAACCGCTCTATCGGTTCTTGTGAAAAATATCAAGAAGAGGTTGTCTAACAAAACAATCATCATAGTATAAAAATTATTCTGGAACGCTGGAAAAACGCCAGTGGCCGTGGCCAAAGTTCCCACAATGACAACTATCGTAACCTAAAAATAGGTTATTTTCCAGATTTATTTTCTCGTTTTTAACTTCTTTTCGTCGAGTTTTTGTTGTTTTCCCCTAAATTTAAAAAGTCGGAAAAAGTTTTTTGATAGTGAAAAAATTGACTGAAATTGCACAAAAATGGAAAAATTGATTCCGAGAATAAGAATATTTTTAGGTTACGGTAGTTGTCGTTGGAGGACCTTTGGCCACTCGAAATTCATATAAAACTATAAATTACATCGGAATCGAGGAAGTTTTTTGGGAAAAACCAGATTTTAAACAAATTTCTGGGAGGTTTTGGATATTCTGTTTTGGATATTTTTCACTGTAAACGTGCTGAAATGATTGATTTCAAACAACATATTTTGAAAGGGAACCTTCTAATACATGTTTCTCGGTAACTAATATTCCTTGCAGGAATCGAGGTAAATTGGCTCACAGTGGACTTTACATTGGAGTGCTTACTGCACATCTAATAAAAAAAGCTAATGAAGTGAAGTGAAAAAAAAAAGTTGACTGAACCATGAAAAACTCCGATGTATTATGCTTGTCTGAGAAAAAAAGGTTAGAGAGTATTTTGTGCAGTCTGAATACGGTAGCGATATCGAAGCGGAGAGCCTAAATAGCACACATAAGGTGAAGACACAGACACTTTTTCTCTGCGTCTCAACCTTTTTTTTCTCAGACAAGGATAATAACTGTTTTCTAAATCATAAGACCTTAGTTATCAAAAACTACATTCTTGATGCTGTAGTTTATTATTAGAATGGTGTATTAGAATGTTCTCTCATCTATATTTTTATTTATTTTTAAAAATCATATGGATACAATATAAAGAAGAACAATAATTCACACGGAGACGGAGAAGTAAGAAGAGAGTCAGTTTTTCAGTGGTACAGCAAAAAAGAACAAACCTACAGAAGCCAATGCACAAAAGAAAAGACTAGTTATAGTAAATACAAGGTCTCGAGAAAAAAGTACCGAAGAATTTGATGAAAATAGAATTTTAAGAAGAGAGAGAGAGTGGAAGGAAAAAGCTGTGTAGAAGTGTACCCTGAATGAAATGTAAGAGATAAAACTATGGCAACTGATTAGGCACTGGTATCAATTAAATCCTCAATCTTCATTTTCTTGCAAACTGGTGGCGAACTGTCATGTTCCGGCTCCTCCTTCATCATCGACGATTCTGGACTTCCCTGAAAAATGTACAATGTGTTCTCTTCCGTTCAAAAATTCAAACATCGTTTTCTCTAGACGGTGTCATCACAAGTGCCAAGCCCTCTTCATCATTCCCTCTTACTGTAACCCTCTTTATATTACACAACCTCATTAGCACGAATACCGCTTTGATGACGTGCCGACACCGTCTTCAGTGGCCACCTGTCGACCCAAAAAAAAGATTGAAACATACCGCTGAGGTGAGAACGGAAGCTCGGACAAGATCAAAACAAATTTGGCACTTTGGACGGTCGAATGAGGACATTACTATGGCATAGGCACATGGTTGCTGAAATTAATCTTTTTGTTTAGGGGTTCTGAAAGAAGGAACTTACATGACACGTGGAACACTTCATAAAGAATTCATCATCTTTCTTCATGTCTGGAGATTCACTTGAGCCTGTCTCATCATTTGATTGCCGACTGAATGGGGTCAAGCAGTCACGGGCCAGTCCTCGTTTTACTGAAATCAAAAATGTGTTTTTGGTTTTTTTTTTGGACGGGAAGGATATTCGGAAAATGAAAATTATGTATTGGATGATGTAGTTTAGAATTCTGGAACTACTTTCAATTTTTCAACTTAGCGACAGGCATCAATCGGAGAAATTGAAAATCTAAACACCGGATTCCTTTATTTTGACCAATTTAGAGTTGTTTGTTCTTAACTTTTGTCAGTGGTACTGAAGTTTTCTGCTTTTCTCAGGTCTTGGAATACCGTAAAACCTGCAATAGAAGGGCATTCTAACTTCAAACGTTGAGCAAATTTATCTCGATTTATCTCAAAGAAACGATCTAGGTTCCTGTCAATGATATGGAAAAGTGGTCAACTGATAAATTGTTTGTCATAATATCAAAAACGCTTTATCACTTGACAGAAATTTTGATACCTTGCAAGAAAAATTAGCTCAAAATTGGCAGTGTGGGGGCCATTATATTACAGGTTTTACGGTAGATTTCCAAAACTTACATGTCTGTCTCTTATTCTGATTATTTCTGATCCTCTGCAATTCCAGCTCTCTCTTTCTTTTCTGATCAAACTGATCTGGTGTGTTTTCTCTTTCGCGCTTTTCCTTTGTTCTGAAATTCTTTTTCTTGAATCTATCGTATTTCTTTTGGAGAATAAAACTCACGATGTGATATATGTGATAAGCCTCTCTTTCTCCAAATCAATATGTGTATTCCATTCGGCCTCTGGCACCTTCTCTGTACACACCGAACATGTCGCACATCCGTCCTCATCGAGTATTAGTTCTGTAAAGACATGTCCTTGTTATACTAATCTCTTGTTGTTGTTGGGTAAATAATGTGCCGCTTTAGAACACAATTTTATTACCCTTTTATTCGTTCGTTTCCCGGCTAGTTAATCATATTCCCCCCGATCCTTTCCGTCGGCAACTTCAGAAGTAATTTGTGGTTTCCCAAGGTGTATGTGTACTTATGTTAATTTACGGTTACATCTTCTTTTTTCACCCCATCTAAATACTCATTTCCCCCGGAATCGAATTCGAATCAAAGCGCGAGAAAGCAAAACGAGCCAATTAATGAGTCGACAGGAGGTGTCGTCGTCCTGGGGGCCGTCATCCGCCAATTAATCATGACGCCTAACTGTGTGGCGGTGCCGCCTTTCATCCGTTTGGTGGCGACTACTCACTCACATTTATCACTCAATACACTCATAAACAGTAGGAAGAAGAAGAAGAAAGAGAGTGTTGACTCTTCCGCAGATGCTTATCAAAAAGAAACAAACGCAGATGTGGTTTAGAGATTGAGATCACTCAATTAGGCAGAGATGAGAACCGATTATGAGAGGAAGGTGTCAGATGAGTGAGTCCTAGATCTAGATGACTTGAAAAGTACCCAACAGAGCTAGGAAGCAAGATACATGGAATTTCTGGCAGTCGACCGGTTGAAGTTGACATGTTTGTGATTAATGGTACTTATGTCGGAAGAGATTATGAAGATCTGTTCTAAAGAAGTGTATGGTTTCATAGCAATGAAGTTTGAACTATTTCAAGTTTATTTTGTTTTCGGTAGCTGTCGGAAGCTTCTGAAAACCACGTGCTTCAGAAGTTTTTAAGGTAAAACCTGTAATAGATGAGCCCTCTAACTTTGAGCCACTTTATCTCGGAACCTGTCGAAGATATAACAAATTCGTCAACTAATAATTTGTTTATTACAATATCAGAATAACTTTATCAGTTGACACATTTTCGATATCTTTTACAGTAACCGAGATAAATCAGGTCAAAGTTGGCAGTGTGGTGGCCCTTCTATTACATATTTTACAGTGTATAAGCCTCATGGATGGAGGACAAGTTAAGAATAAGTATTTGATAGTGTTCAGAACCATCTCTAGGAAAGATATTAATGAAACAATTTAGGAACTATCGCTTTTTGTTCCGCGTCCAAAGTTCTCAAATCTGGGATTTCAGTTCCCGGAAAGCAGTCTAAAGTGGCGCTCAGATTCCCAAGGTTTCCAATACAGGACAACAGTAAACCCCCAACACGTCGATACCCACAAGAACTAGTACCATTTTACGAGGGGTTTTTCGAAAAAAAAAGTTTCTAGAGATTTTTTGCGGGTGTCTTCGCACTAGTATCGGTTCCAACTGTGCAAATTGGTAATCTTGAGAATCTGGGCGTCGGCCCGGAAATCCAAGATTTGGGAACTTCGCATTAGGATCTAGTGCGAACGAATCAGTCTGGTCACTTCGGAATGTGTGACCTTTCTATTTTCCATCATCTATCCTATTTGTTTGAACAACCTCATCTCTATTACCATGTCATAACTCTTTCGCATCTGGAGTAGTGTCAGATTATCATTAAACTCTTCCTTCCCCGATCCCACGATCCCCCGCTCTTCTCATTTTACCACATGCACCGCCAAAGTCATAAACCCAGCGTGAGTTGTCCCTCCTCACCGAAGGTCTCATGACTCTGAGGCTCTACACTAGATCATTCCAGGCGACGGAAGAAAACGAAGGTTATATTGGTTTCTCATTTTTCAGAATATTCGACGTCTTCGTATCCTGTTTGTCTTCTTCTTCTTCCTCTCATTGTCAATCATCAGTAAAGAAAGGCATCCAAACACACACTGGGCCCTCCCCGGCTAGAAGATGGTTTTATTGCAAAGTTTATCGCCACTAAATTGCTTTTCTTCACACCCAACCCCAAAGAAGCATGTTTATGTATGTGTCAAATGAGATATCGTCTTCTTCTTCTTCTTCGTTTTCCTATTTTCTCACTGAGCTCCCCGCCAAACACAATGAATGGAATCGAAAGACAACAAAAGCCAGATGTGCTTCTCCTGTCCCATCGCTCTCTTTCTCAACGGTTTTATGGCTCCGTTTATACAAAATAATATCAAGACGACTGGCAGGTGACACCATGGTAATCTACATCTTATTCAATTGTCTCGAAGATCCCCATGTACAAATAGAGAATAAACCAAAGAAAATGGAAAAAAGCAGAGAAGGTTGGGAAGGATCTCTCAAGTCACTCATATTTCAACAGCATTTGCTCAAAACGAATTCTCCTCCCAGTCCACTAATAAAACACTTCTTTTTTGTTACCACCACAAACTTCTTGACTTCTGACACACACACAATGCCAAAAACTCTTTTCTTCGCGGTTTCTTCCTCTCTTAATTGAAATGTGGCTCGTTTTGAAGTCGCCGCCTTTCAGGAACCCCATGGGAGGATGATTGGTAAAGATTTCGGAAAAGTGAATGGAGAAGAAGCGGAAGAAGAAGAAGCGACTCGTTCGCGCATAATATATCAACTGTTTGGGGCTCTCGGCCCGTGAAAAAAAACATACAATTTGTCGAAAAGACAAACACGTTTTCATTTCTTTGAGAATCTAGGTTTGAGGAGAAGGGAAACGAGATTAATTGGAGGAAGGAGAGAAGATGTATAAAAGGAACGGGTGAGATTACGGTAGCCGTTTTATGAACTACGTGGGATAGTTTGAATAGCTCAAGTTCATAGGGACTTGTTTCTAAAAAAATTTGTCTATCAGAAATCTTTTATCAGGCGATGAGAAAAGCATTGCTGATAGTGAGATCGATTAAACTCGGGTAGCAAAGAATACAAAAATGAAGTTTCTTCAAGATTCGAAAAGCTCAAAATTTCGGAAAAAAAATGTTTTTCAAAGCTGCCGAATTGTTGCATGTAAATAACAGATCCAGGTTCATATTCTTCTCTCACCATCTACACTTCCGAAGTCAACCAAACCATCAAAAAACACTCTACTAGAACGGCACCCCAAACAGTCTACTTTGAGCCATATGCCTCATTTTCTGCAAAAGATATCAAAAAGTCTTCAACTGAAAATTTGTTTATCATATTATCATCAATGCTTTGGCAGTTGATTATTTTCTGATATCTTTCACATGAAGCGAGATAAATCAGCTTAAAGTTCAGAAATAGAGGTGCCGTTCTATTAGAGTTTTACGGTAGTTTCGAGACTTAAACTAATCGAAACTTCCCAAAAATGATTCCTCAATGCTGCCGAAATTCCTATTGCAGTATCTCTTAACAAGTGAAATGAACCTTTATGAATCATCAGATCCCAACTATTTTGTTCAAAATCTTTTCATTGGACCCCCATCGAATCCACTTTCATAAAAATCACACCTGTCCCAGTCAGTTTCCCACTAGTCTCCTAGCTTCCCACATTAGCGACTAGCTACACAGATACTTGTGCCATTTCGGTGTCTCTTTCATATTTGAGTCGACGCAATTTTTCGTTGCGTAATCCACTCCAAAAAACCTTCAAAAATCTTGTCTCTTTCGGAAAAGCGTACTACTGTGGATGACCAATCTGAGGTAGGCGTCTGTCCTCGAACTTTGCACCTGTACAATGTAAAATCCGAAGGTGTTGAGTACGGTTACATTACACACACATCTAAACTTCTGTTCTGTTCTCCCCTCGTAACTTTCCATCATAATGTTGTCATCATGTTCAGTTGGTGCTGCGAGCGATGACTTTGAATTACGACTGACTCCTCGCTCAACTTCTCTGTTGGCGTGTGTTCAATTTTACGACTTGATACACACACTGCAACATTTTCATTTACGAGGTACTGTAAGTCATGGAGAGGAAAGACACCACACGGGAAAAACGAAGTAGAAGGACGGAGGGCCGGTCTTCTTATGCGAATGTTGATTTAAATAACAATAGTGACTGGGAGAGAAGACGGAGTGACATGAGAAACTTGCACGAAATTATGTACACTTCTTCTTGGTCTTCTTCTTTCTTTACCTTCTTCCACCATATCAATTCATCTGATGCAGTCGAATGGAAATGAGTCTGACGAAGAGGAGGAAGGAGAAGTCGTGGCATTCCATCTCAGACGCCGTCCCGTCTCATTTCGCACCTTACAGAAGACAGAAAATCCGGAGATTCGAAACTAGTCGTGCTTATCCATCGTAGTACTAAAATCGCTCTCTCTTGTCTTTTCTCTTGTTTTGTTAGCCATATAAATCCGACATGAATCTCCGAGTATTGTTCCATTATTGGCATGCGTCTCCCCACCTCGTAAATGGTGTCATTGGACGCAGAAGAGTGTACTCTAATACCCTAAATATATAATGGAAGATCGAAACAGAGAAGAAGGTGGAGGATTCCAACAAGAAGAAGTCACACGAGGTCGTGTGCGATGGGTCGTGACCGGAAGTTAGACGCTTCGGAGACACTAACAGAACTTTGACTTTTTTTCTGATGAGTAGATACCGATGGAAAGTAGGTTTTCTAATTGGTCTCACCATTCCCTGGGGTTACGGTATCTATTGCGAGCAGACGTTCGTCCGGAATCCCCGCTCTATTGTTCTGGCTTTACGATGGGAAACAAGAAATTCGAGCTACTACTCGGTTCCCAGACTATTGCGGGATTAACACGCTGTAATGACCACCTTGGCGTTTGAATAGAAATGGAACAGATAGGTTAAGGGGATGGGATATGTACACCTCCGGTTGCAGATGTTTAAAATAGTGACAGGCCATCAAGTGAACAAGTTGGATGACTAGATTAGGAGGTAGGAATCCTCAGGATCATTAACTGTCATTAACAAATCTCAAATCACTCACTCTTACTTTGTGGAGTATCACTTCTTGACGACGCTTGATCCGAATTGACTGGCGAAGCACCGGCACTCAACCTCTGTTGCTGTTGTTGATTCTGGTGTTGAACCATCTGCTGCATCAGCTGATAGAAATGAAATTGCTGTTGCATATTTTGCATATTCGGGAATATTTGCAGAGGTGGGAAGACGGCTGTGGACGGCGATGCAGTCGGACACATGAATGGGAACGGAGCACCGATCCGTGTAGTTTTCTCATCCATGCCTGCAATTGTATTGAGTTGGAGAATGATGAAGAAGAAGAAGAGATTGGGAAGAAAACAGTTTAAAGAGAGAAGGAAGCACTGGCTGATTGTGATCTGATCAAGTGACAAAAAGAGTGGGTGGTGGTAGAAGAGGAAAGAAATAGAAGAAGCTTCTCTTCTACAGTTATGTTTTTAGTGACTCGCAACCGTCTATGTGTTGTAGAAGAAGCATGACTGCTCTTCACTGATATCAACAATTTTCGTACTGAGGAAACCATCAATCCGAGAAACAAAATATTGAAGGCGGAAAGTGTATGCCACATTAAAAGAGAAAAAGTGGACCTAGAAGACAAATGAGAAGTGATTATTCACCTGAGTTTGCCGGAAGTAGCGGTCGTTGGGGTAGTGACATCTCTTTGTGTGTGTGGAACTGTTTCTGGAAATTGGACAACTATGAAGACGAAAAAATGAGAAAGCAAGAGAGAAGAAAGAAGCTTTTGTGTGTGCCTGTTTTGTTAGGAGAAAACACATTGATGACGAGAAGAAAAAAGTGGGGCGAACATTATTAGAATGATGATCTCATTGGGTAGGAATGGCACCGAGACATAAGAAGTGGGCGGAGTCGAGCAGCCAAACTGCCTACAGTAGTAAGAGAAAAGAAGATGGGCGAGCGAGAAGAACATCAGAAGGGGGGAGAGAGGGAGACAGACACAAGAGTAGTTGTTTGAAGTATCTAGAGGAGGGAGATGAGGAGAAGAGTGGGCGGAGTCTTAGGTGTCGGTGGATCTAGGGAGAGAGCAACACCAAAAGTTAACTTTTTATTGCCACGTCATGCTGCTAATTGACAACAATGGAATAGGTTATTAAGGGGCTCTGTTGTGAGAGAGAAGAGATGCGTAAAGTTCAGAAGAAATGAGTCACGAAGTCTGTTTGTCGTCCTGTTGTCGCCCTAAGGCAGTGATAATTGACTTTTTGAATGGATTGGTTGGACGAATATTGATGTGATGCTGAAACTGGAACTGAACGAGAAGAAGAAAAGAAAAGGGACAATGATGGGAAACACGAACTCTCTTCTCTTGTAATCTCTTGTGCTTGTAGAGAAAGAGAGGTGCGGCTGAACTGTAATAATAATCATGAAGCTGCCCCGGAGGAGCGCGATAATAAAACATAGAAATTGACTCTTGAAAGGTGGCGGTAGATGTGAAGCGCAGGGGTCTAAAAGTATAGGGAGTGGTGTTTGAGAATGAGATGCAATGAGGTGATCATAAAATATAGTTTTGGTTGTTTGAAGAAAAAAAATGATGAAGAGGAGAGAAAGAGAGGATGATTTGGAATATTTAAGAATATTCATAAAAAGAAAGGTTGAGAGAATTGAGGGGATGATAGGAGAGTGAAAAATAGAAAAAATGTGAGAGAAGTTTTTGTAAGAAAGGGAAGTTTAATACCGTACAACCTGTAATAGAAGAGCCCCCACACTCTCAAGGTTGAGCTCATTTTTTTTGGCGCCTATGCGTGATATCAAGAATGTGTCAATTGGTGAAACGTTTGTGATATTTAGATAAACATTTTATCAGTTGACAACTTTTCCATATCATTGACAGGAACCCAGATAAATTGGCTCAAAGTTGAAAGTTAAGGGTCCCTTCTAATACAGGTTGTACAGTATATCGGAATTCTGTGAATCTTGCATTTCGTATAATTTTGATTTTTTTAATTTGTGGTTATGATTCCGTAGATCAGCTTGAGTTCTGTTCAATTCAATTTGAGCTTCATTTGAAAACTTTTTGATTTTCTTGAAATCAGCCTCCAATGAATAACCAAAAAGACATTATGCCTTTTGGCACAGATGATAGACAAGATTATTTTTTCAGAAGTTTTGGCACACTGAAGAGAAAACATAGGTAAGAATGAATAAATTTCCTGATAGCTTTTAAAATTGAAACCGCACTAGCTTCAACAAAATATAAGGATTTCCTAGTTTTCCGAGGCAAGTAATTTATATTTTTGCTTCTCCGACATTCATAAATGTCTTTACATAGATTAGGGGTCTCTTCGACTTCAGTCTATCGAATTGAATTTAATCCACAGTTGAATTTTTTGTAATAAAGCCTACACATTTGTTGGTATTTCAGTCAAAATGTTTTCCAGAAGTCTTGAAGACGGCATTTTGTAATAAATGTACTGCTTGGGAAGCCAGGCTATGCCAGATTTTACTCTTTTAGATTGTGGGGCTTTCCTATATCAAAACATACAAAAATTTAGAACATTTGGAGTGTATCGCGTGAGAACAGACGACCTCGTCTTGAGAGATTACGATGTGAACAAATAGTATTTGTTGCATGCTTCTACTCATGCAACAACTAATATGTAGGACCTCACTTTCTTTTTTGGGGGGATTCGGATTTTGAGGGGTTTTGAAAGCTTCAGTGCACTGTGTTTTTCTTAAGACATTCGAAATAAGTCTGTTCACTACTGCGACGAGTACCGTAACCTAAAAATATTTCTATTATCCGTTTTTTGTCGGAAAAAACCATTTTTGAAAGTGGGAAAACTAACTGAAAGCGCACCAAAATCGAGATAATAAATCCGGAACATAAATATATTTTTAGATTACTGTAGTTGTCGGTGTGGGACCTTCGACCACGGCCACAGGCATTTCTCTTCCATTTAACTGTTTATACCGTATTCCCTCTTATAGAAGCCCACCAGAGATGTCCGGAATGACTTTTGAAAAACAAAATCCGGAATCCGGAATCCGGAATAAAATTATTTTCTCCGAATCCGGAATCCGGACAAATAAAAATTTCATGGAATCCGGAACAAAGAAAAGCCCGGAATCCGAAATACAAAATCCGGAATTTTGAGGTTTCTGGTGTGCATAAAAGTTCTGAAAAACACATATCATGCTTATTTTTTGCATTGATAGTCACGGTTGTTCGAACAAATGTTAACACATTTGCTGAAAATCCAGAATAAAAAATGTTTTCCGAATTCAGACAAAAATATTTTTAGTCCAAAACTCATTTCTCATTGACCAAATTTCGTTATGAATGTGACTAAAAAAGTATTGTTCATTATCACTGTTATGACAGTTTCACTAATTTTATCGTTCTGAAGTTAATATTTCTTCAGAAAATATCTCCATCCGCTCCTTTCACTTCGTTCAAATTTTGAAATATAACTTTCTTCAACAAAAAAGAAGATGTTGAGCAAGAGGGAACACACAATTATTCATCATCGATTTCTCGTTTTTTCAGTGTCTCTGTTATATTCAAAACAATTGTTTGAAGCTTCTTCGTTAAAAAGAGACAAAGAAAAACTGAAACTTTTGAATCAAAACAAGAAACAAAGAAGAAGAAGGATAGTTTTTTTCAAGAAGAAAGCAATAAGACGATAGGGAGCAATGTGTCATTTTGTTGATAGAGAGAAGTGTTGAAGCATCAAAAAATGAAGAGGAACAAAGCGACGGACCCGCTAAGACAATATACAGGAGAAGGAAAGGAGTAGAAGAAATCAGAAGAAGACTACTGTATGAGTCATGGAATGTGACTGGCGAGAGAGGAAAGAAGGCGATTGAAGTATGTTTTCAAGTGGAAAGTGCTCTCTCTCTCTCGTGGTACATTGTTTCGAAATAATTTCTTCTTATACTCCAATTGTAACAATTTTTTAGGAGGGCGAAAAGATATTTGAGTGTGGGCAGAAGAGATACTGTACAGAGAAGAAGAATGCCAGAATGTTTCTATGAATGATGGAAGTTTTATTTTCAGTTTCTTATAAACAAGTATGACTTTCTCTGAGAATATCTGTACTATCCCATCGTTATTTGAAATGATGTTTTTTCGACTTTTTTGGGAACTTTTCATCCGAATCACAGGAGCCTTTAGACCTTTGTAATCAGATAAGGATAATGAGATGGTTTTTAGAACTTCTGCGAAGATCTTTCTGTGTGCAAACCACAATTTCTGTAAGAAGCACAGTCGTGGACAAATGGAAAATTTGCGGAAACGGAGATAAACCAGTATAAAGATCATATGCCTCAATAAAAATGGTATCAGTGGTCTAAACAGAAAATTGCTTCTAGGAATTTGAATCCCCTTCAGTTTTTTTTGTATACGACATCTGACGCATTGATCTCCAAAGTCTACTTCATCCCATCTTGCTCCCGCCTACTTTTATTTCTTCTCGACCCACATCTTTCCAGGTGCTGACAGGTTCTTCTATTCACAACTTCCCATCATCTACCATACCTTCAGAAGAGAGACCTCCCATTCAAGTGTGTTGTCAATCGTCGAGGCGCCATCCGTTCGTCAAAACGAACGGGGGGAGAGCGCCTTAGAAATTAGATTGAATTGTCCCGTTTTCACACAACACAATGCGCCAAAACCATACACTTCTGAGATGGCGGCATCGTTTGTGTGCACGCTCGTCTTCTTACCCATTACCTTTTTTTTCAAAGTGTCGCGCACGAAAAAGTTGTCTCTTGGCTTCCTCTTCTTGTTCTTCTTCTGTCTTCAAATCTTTCATTCTTTGTCATACACAAACAGCTTGAGGGCCGGCATTCTTCATCGACGGGTACAACCCGGCGATTTGGTTCGATGGGAAATCAAGAATTGACAATACGGAGAAGAATGAGAAGAACGTTTACAGTAACCGGCTAATTATAAGTGTTGAAAAGACTTTACTACGGAGACATTCGATTCGAGGAACAGAATGCGAACGATAGCGTTGATGCGTGAATTAACAACTTGTAAAGGTTTCATTGGCTGATTCAATCCGAACTGATCTGCTTAAATCTGGAGAACTTTCGAAGGGGTTGAGACATGAAAAAAAGTTATTTATGAAAGGGTTGATCTCTCTTGTAGTTCCTTACATTTCGATTTATATAATGGCATTCATTCGGTATCTATCTTTTTTATCGACATTCATTTGCACCCCCAATCTCAACGAAATATACCGAACTATTTTCATTTCCTAATTTCAAAATTAGACCCAATACATCTTGGTTCCCGTAAGAGATATCAAAAATGGTGAAATAACTGGCAAAATTTTTTGATGTAATGATAAATATTTTGTCAGTTGACCATTTTCTAATATCATCTACAGTGAATGAGATGTGTAGGCTCGAAGTTGACGGTTTTTGTAAGAGTCGTTTGCGGCCCAGCACCCTTCTAACTTCTTAGGCTAATGTAAGATCATAAGCTAAGGTTACCGTATTTCCTCTAATAGAAGCCCATGGGCTTCTGTTTTTCAACCTTCTTTTCAGGATGGGCTTCTATCAGAGATGGTCTTCTATTTTTCAACGATTCATTTTCAAAAAATTTTTATCCAAAAAATCAGAAATTTGACAAATCAGAAATTAAGACAACTGAAATTCAGTGTTTTGAAAAATTCGAAAATTTCATTCTGTAATATTAAAATTCAAAATTCCGAATTTATGAAATTCTGAGATTACAGAATCTCAAATATCAAAATTCAGAAGTTCTGAAGTTCCGGGAAAAAATTCTGAAAATCTAAAAATCTGAAATTCCAACAAATTTAGAAATTATTAGATTGGCAAATAAGTTTCTTTCGATTTCGGCAAAATATTTCATCGAATTTTTCTCAAAGTGGAGGGGGCTAGATCAATGAAAGTAGTGTTCATGAACATCTATAGTTGTCTGCCAACACCCCGGAAATTTCTGTGTTCCATCGGCCCAGAACGAAGAGAGTTGCGACTGAAAAAGTGGGTCAACTCCTTTTTGATGTCATCTTTTTAATTGAAGTATTTTATATCAAGATGGTAATGAAAAACTCAAAACATTCAGTAATCAGAACGAGCAACGACCGGAGAACACGATGAGTAAAAAAGAATAGTCCAGCCAAACGACATGAATTTTTAGCTGATCGCTCTAGTCAAAGGCGATTTCTCATTGTCTTGCCGGAAGCAAACCTTGATATTTTCTCCTCGTTTCTATTCTAATATTTCCTATCGTACAGTGTACAAGGTGGCAGTTATAGTGGTACCTTCATGTTAAAGTTCCCAGTCTCCACTCTTTTGATATACCAACAAACACAATGGATCCCCTTTTTCCCGGAAAATTTAGGTTTCGGAACGTCCAGAGCTAGCTCTTCTCCGTCCATCCACTGACACTTCGGAAGTGTCAGTGGATGGATTGATAGAGTAACTTACCCCCTCTCCATCTACGGTAAATAGACCATCCACCCGACTGAACGTGTGAAGAAATGATAGTAGAAACATGCTTATGTCTACGTGGTGATCCATATCATAGTCCTTCAAAACATAGGGTACGAATCGACTCGGTTCTTCAAGTCGCCAAGAGACTTCAATCAGTTCACAATACTTGGCTGACTAATGGACAATGCCTTTCACATTTTACAAGTGGTTTGAAACGGACCCGCTTCAATAGTAATCTTCGATAGGTTCAAGTCCAACTTTCGGAACGAGTTCCGTCTTTCGATTCTGAATTTTTGACTTTAAATCGATCGGTCCAATGCTCGATGGTAGGGACAGTAAAAGATCCTTCTTTATCTATTTCTTTCTATTTCTTGTGAACATCGCTTTTCAAACTAGAAAGAAATAAAAATAAAATGGCATTTTGAAAGTGTAGACGGTAAGGGATGGTAGCAAGTGACATGCTCGCCAACGAAAAAAAGTAGAAATGAGGCAAAGTGTGTACACCAAGTCCGTGAGATACTCTATCTAACAAAAAACATCCGCCAAGAAAAACAGTCCCACTGACCAGATATGAATTCTCAAAGTTGAGCGTTCAAAGTCGAAAGAAACTTATTTGCCAACCTAATAGAAAATTCGGAAATTGAGAAATTGTCGAGTTCTAAAATCACAGTTCCAAAAATTCTGGAATTTTGAATTTTTAGCTTTTACTAATTTCTTCTCTTTATAAGTTTTTATTAGTCTATTGGGAACATGTGGTATCTGGTATGGTATCTTCTTTTTCAACCGACATCCATTTCCATTTCTAATTCCAACGAAACACACCGAACTACTGTCATTTCCTAAATCTGACCACTGTTTTCTTTCCTAATTTTCCTCCCACCTTGCTCCCCAGAGTCTCATCCTTTTGTTCGTCTCGGTTTCTGACAGTAAATAGTGACCGTCTTAGGTTGTGCAAATAACGAGAAGTGATAGGCCGCGAAAGGGCTTCTTCATTGTCGAGTGTGCTCCATTTCTTCCGATGGCTTTTCGCATTTCACTCCTATTTCTGGTTATCATAATCCTCCTACTCATTGATGATGTTTTCTGTTATGCAACTTATAAACTACGACGTGAGTTCATCTCATCCATTCTGAAGCTTCCAAATTCGACATTCCAGCCAGGAATCAAAGGTTTTCGTCTTTCAACAATCTACTAAACACGATTCCCGTTATGCCAAAGCTGACATTTTATCCACAAGCCCCACCACCAGGAAGAACAAATTGAAATCAAAATAATTCATTGTTACCGGTATGAATCTATACCTCGAAATAACTATAAAACAGTAAAAAAATAAATCTAGTAAATTTGACATAAGTTCTATGGCACAGTATATCAGTGAGGAACAGTGAGATGATTTGTGAGAAGTTGTGAGAATCTGTAAAGAACTGGAATCGACTCGGCGCTTTTCTTACATCCCACGACGACCAGTTTTTGACGAGCTCGAGTGAGTGCAACGTTGATGCGTCGCTCGTCTCGAAGAAGCTCGCTTTTCTTATCAGAATTATCAGTCCATGTCAACGACCAAATGATGACTCGTTTCTCGCGTCCCTGGTAGGAATCGATGGTATTCACCTGAAAGAACAATGTTCTAGTATATATAATACTCTTCCCATTATTCACCTCAAGATCTTCGTTTTTAACAACATTGCGAATGTGATCAACTTGTTTTCTATATGCAGACATCACTCCAATTTCATTTGGTTTCACTCCACTCTGAAGAAGAAAATTACTTTCAAAAAACAACTTTTTCGGTTACCTCAATGAATCGCTGACATAATTCTGAGATGATTTTGGCTTCTCCATCGTTATTCATCCCACAGCTTTCTCCATTTTCACATTGCATCGAATGATTTATGGGACTTTGGGTATCCAAAAACACGCAGGAGTCGGCGATATCTCCAGAAAGAGCTTTACGGATATGATCTGAAATTTTGATAATTTATGAAACCAACCGAAACAGAAATTACCATCGAGGTCTATTGGAACCGCATAGCTTCCAGATCTATCAAGAGAGCTTCTAGATACCGCTTCGTTTCCACAGATGAGCCGATTTTCGTAGAATAGTTTACTGGAGAGAGCTGATAACTCTCTGTTCATACGGTATTGAGATGTCAGTGACACCACAGCAGTTGGGTGGTTTTTCTGGAGCTTTTCCATTGTAGAGATACTTGCCCCTTCTTGTCTAAAAACATAGGAACGATATCGCTAACACAAAAAAATAATTTTGATTCCTACTTTGCTTTTCTTGAGACTACGAGAGGCGTCAGCTGCTGACAATCTCCGACGAGTACGAATTTCTTGCTCGTGGCAAGAACTGGAAGCAGAAGTGGCTCGAGTACCATCGATGCTTCGTCAATTATAACAACGTCAAAATGACGATATGAGAAGAGAAGTTCTCGAGGGACATGATGGCAAGTGCAAGCTACGATTGGCTGAAACAACTGAATTCCAAAAGGAAAGCTGGCAAGACCTACTACCGTAGTTTTCATCACGCGTCTCACTGCCACGTAGTAGTCTTCAGATGTTTCACCCTCAAGTTTTGACTTCAATGTCAACGTCCGCACGTCGTCCTTGATCGTTGAGCTGCTTCCGAGGCGAAGAATCTTTTCGTTTGATACTTCCTAGAAAACCACAGTTAAAATGAAACTGGGAAACGTTTATAGCTCATACCTTTGTTAGTTTTCCCAAAATATTATCAACTGCCGAGTGAGTGAATGCAGTCAACAGCACTTTCTTGTTAGTAGCTACCAGGCACTGAATGAGTACAGAGATGAGCGTAGTTTTTCCTGAAAAACGAAAAGTTGAATTTCCTTCAATCAGTTTTTCCAGTACCAGATCCAGGAAGTCCTTCAACAATCATGTAATCTTCAGTAGCTAATGCATGAACAACTGCTCTCCGCTGTTCATTATTCAGCTTCGCTTTGATGATTATTTTCTTAACCGCAGCGCTGATATTAGCTCCATTGATGTCCACTATGGCAGGTGGGAGCAAATCGACAAGCACATTTCGTAACCGCATTCTGGAAAAAAACAATTTGTAGGAGAAGGCCTAGCTTAATATTTTCAACCCTATCTCGTCGTTCTGTAAGAAATAAACAAGATTTCCAAGAGTTGTCGAATGAGTGCTCATACTGGTATACTTGTCGAGGTGAAATGGAGCATCGTAACGACATTTAACTGTTTTGTCCGATGAAATTTTGATAACATCATCCGAAACAAAATCGATGACAGTGAATGCAATTGCCACATTTTTCTTGTTGGATAAAAGACAAACATCGCCAGGCCGGAAAGGTGAATCAGTTACAGTAGACTTCCGTGAGAAGGTGATGATTACTCTCTGCGAATTGGATATCTCTTCGGATATTGAATGTAAATCCGAGATGCAAGTTTTTTCTTCGACTCGCTCTTCTATACTTTTCAGCCATAGATCCTTATTTTGGACCTGTACTCTTTCCCGTTCGCACTTCCACTCAGCAGATATCCAGCGAATCCAATTTGATGCGTAATCTGTAGACAAGTTTGGTTGAGATAACTTTTGAAATTTTCGACATACCCATATGTGATTGTTCCAAATGAGCCATCTCTCGCTCAGCAAAATCTTTCAGAGAGTCATTGGATTTTACGAATTTTTCTTCATTTTTTTGATAGAATGAGCACATGACCTTATGATCGCATTTGCCACAGAATCTACTATCCTGACGAGGAGCAGGAAGTTTGTTGGTTGTTGGGTCTTCGAAGGAAACAGAAAGCATGTTTCTCTGCTGAAGAATTCCAGAGAGTTCAGGAGCGCGGGGATTAACACAGCGAGATATACCATCCTGAAAAAAGCGGAATAATCCTTGTGATCACTTCGGATATCGATTGTTTACTTTCAAATAAAGAATGTTTCCAGGTCCAATCGGTTGCTCATAACGTGATGACTGCATCATGCAGTAGAGTAGCACCTGACCAGCATGCTCACTCGACTGACTACTTTTACCCGTTTTCAACTCAAGAGACTCCATTCCTTTTTTCGATTTCGTTCTCATAGTCACATCGACTTTTCCTTTTAGACCCAGCTTCGAATCCCAAATATTTTCCTCGATGTCATGCACTTCTAGCAATTGGGATTTTGATGGCAACGGCTCTCGTTTTGTGAATAAGCCAGTAGAAGTCGGATAGTGTTTATTGATCCAGTTGCAGATGACCTGTAATACATTTCTTTATTTTTTCAGTTCGTATACAATAGTCCCGCACCGAAAAATAGGGTTGCAATTCGGCATCTAAACAAGTGGGAGTGAAGGAAAGCGCAACCAAATCTTCAGCATATTTCGGTGCTTGTGTCGTCCAAATTTTGAGAAGGTCAGAGTCAACAAGTGGTCGTTTCTTGTTCGTGATAGCTGTCTGAAAACTGCCAGCATGAAATAATCAGAAATCGGTTTTGATTATTACCTGAAATATTTCGTGGACAATATTTCCCAAAAGCATTGCCTTATTGGATGCGTTACCAAATTTGAATTTCTCGTTCAAAATAGTCTTTCTTGCACAAAACGTAGCTGAAGCAACGGCAGTACATGACACGAGAGCATTTGGATTCAAAATGACGATTCCTTTCTGATTATTGACGATGTAATCATCGTTACCCCAAACTTGGGGCGCAATCAGATTGATTGCATTTCCAACTTCAACGTCCAGCTCGGCCCATTGATCCTGAACACGAATGCATCGAAAAGCTTACTAAATATTGTAAAATACCTGCAGATAAATAACTCTGGTTTTTCTTTGTTTATCGACACATTCCAGGTCAATACACCCTTCTTCCCGTTTGTCGACTTTTGTCACAGTCAGGTAGACTACGTTGTCATCGTCGAATAAGCACGGAAATCCAGCAACACCACTGTCTGAAATTAAAAGTAATACAGTATCAAAACGCCAACACTATGAATATTTACCTTTTATCGTTGATTTCTTGGGAGTGGGGAGTACTTTAGAACTTGTGGCTGGCGTATCAAACGAATCATCGTCATCATCAACATCTTCTAAATGTATTTTCTGGCTTCTTTGTCTCGGAATGTCTTCTGAAAATCGATATTGCCTTACTGACAGAAACAAAGGATAAATAGGTTTACGTTTTCCGGGGGAGTTTTTCAAAATTGTTGAACAGAAGTCATCGAACGAATCGTTGCTGTATTCATTGACATTTTCTGAATAGAAGTATTATAAGTTATGAAGTAAATTGACTATCAAAGCTGCGCAAAGTACCTTTAACGTCTACTTTTAATCGTTTTGTTTCAAAATCTTCTGAAGCGACATCGGAAAGTTGTCGCTTTCGTGACTCCATTATCTGAAAGCAAAATTTGAAGGAAAGTGAAAAATGAGTCAAAAAAGATAAATTAATAAAGAATTTCTGCTGAAAACTCTATTTCCAAAAAAAAGCATTTCAAAGTCTCGACGCCTGGCGCTAAAATTTTCTCTGCGGTCGCTCTTCCAGCGGCCGCGTCCCTCGATGGAAAAAAGCGCGGAAGTTCGAATGTGATATTCCGTGAAATTCCTGATTAGCAGTTTTCCATGTATTCTATAGAGAACAGGCTAAACCTCGTATGTGGTTCAGTGAAAACTTGAATTCAGATAACTGCAGTAAACACGTCAAAATGTCAAAATCTAGCGATAAAATAATGGATCGTATTCGCACAAGATCCAAATCTTGGGGATTTGAGAAAATTCTAGAAGTCGATGCAACAATGAACAGCGTTGAGTCATCTAAAAGTTCCAGTAGAATGCGTTGGAAAATTGTTGTTAAGAAGAATCTGAATAAGACTCCGAACTTGTGAGTTATTAGTGTTGACCTATTTGCATTCAATTAACTATTTTGAAGACCACGTGGATACCTTGGAGTCGCTCAAAGACATGTTGCAGAGGGAAAGTTAGAACTTTCAAAGTTCGCCGTTTACCACCAACTGCCTTCTTCTCCTCTTCTCGAGAACATGAAAAGTGAAATCACATTGGCATGTGTGTTCAGGTCTTCCAGAGGCATCTATACGTTCGTTCTGAACGACATCTTCTGATTCTAGTAACTATAATTTCAGACATTTTCCAATTATTGAGTATGTGAACAACGACGAGTACGTGGAGTACTTCGTGGATACTGGCAGCTCCAAACTTCCGAAGACGTTCGATTCCATAGAAAAATTGATCGAAACGTACTTGGAATGATCTTAATTTTGCGGTTTAATAAAGTATTTCAATTTCAAAGAAAATTGAATTCTTGAATTTCTGAATTTCTGAACATAAGAAATTCTCAATTTCTGAATTCTCGAATTTCTGAACTTCGGATAATCGTGAATCCCAAAATTTTGAATTTATGAATTTCTCAAACTCTGTTTTCCTAAAGTTTCGATTTTCTGAACTCCCATTTTTACGAATTTCTGAATTACTGTTTTCCCAAATTTCTAAACTTCAGTTTTCCCAAGTTTTTCAATTTCCGAATTTATGAATTTCGGAATATAAGAATTTATAGATTTCGGAATTTCTGAGTTTTCGGAATTTCGAATTTCTGATTCCCTATATATCACAACTCCTGAACTTCCAAATTTCTGAATAACAGCAATTCTGAATTTCTAAATTTCTGAATTTTAGATTCTCAAAGTTCTGAATTTCAGGATTTGTGAAATTCAGTGATTTTGAATTCTTGAATTTCCAACTTTTAGAACTTCCCGGAATTCCTGAATTTCTGAATACCGGAATCATACTCTGATTTGCCGGGATTCTTAATTTCTAAATTTCTTGTTTTTGAATTCCTGAATTTTTAAACTTCAATGTTTCAATCGGAAAAATTCATTTGAAGCTTCAAGACGTCTGGTTTCTTTTTCATAATCACCTTCAAACTAGTAATCTGCCAGTCATGTTGCCTCTGGGAGTTTGTAATTTTTAACTGCCATTCGTTTTTCTCCTAGGTGAACTTTTTCATCTTCTCTCTCATGACCTTATTTTTATTCTCATACTTCTGTTTCAGCATTTCAGCATTTTCATACTTCTGTTTCAGCAGCTCAACTTCGTTCAATGTTGGTTTCTTGACGTTTTTTGAAGCTGTAAAATGTCAATGTTTTGCTTCCAGTCATTCCTTTTTCTTCACATTCTTTTTTTTCACAAGACTGGATCCGAAGCAGAGGCTAAAGACGCTCAATCGGATCAGATAAAGCTCTTCAAAACTTACAAGGATCAAAGAAAGCTGGTGGCTTTCTCTTCCGAGGAGTCAACCCAGTATCATTTGGTGACATGACACCTGAAATTGAAACTGAGATGAATAGATTTAGATTAACGAAAGGAAATCAGTAAAAGGAAAAATTGTGTGCTTTTATTTTTCTGATTTTTATATTTCTTTGAGAAATCGGCAAAATCATAAAAGGAGAGAGAGGAGGGGGTGGTGTCGGTGCCAGGAAAGTGTCAAAAAGCAAATCGGCGGGGGAAAAAAAAAATATATGTGGCTATGAAAATGTGTGTATGTGTATGAAAACTGTATAAATATTTCTTTTTATGTTCTCAGAACCGATAGGAACATTATGGAAAACATAAAACGTTAAAATAAAGCATGTTGTCGTAGAAAATGTTTCTCTAGTTGGAAAGAGTACTAGTGGCTCAGAACATTTCGATTGAGATTGATTAATATCCACTGCTAGTACATATGAAAGAGACAAAATAAAAAACGTTACTATTGGCAACCCTCCGCTTTCTCTTTCTTTCTTTTTCATTGTCGCTAGTGTAAGACAAGGATATGTGTGGGTACATAACCGAGATGCACGGACAGCAATTTTTTTTGTCCGGGCAACGGACAAAATTTTCAAACTTAACGAGTATTTTTTTTATGAACGATGGAAAATAGTGATAGAAAAGGAAAGGGTGGTCGTCCACCCTATCAACTGCTTTTACAGACCCAATATTCCAATTTCAATGTTTCTGGCAAACTGACGAACAAAACGTTTTATTGGACAACGGGCACGGACAGCGGAAAACCAAAAACGGCCGGAGAACGGACAATGGGCTGTCCGTGCATCTCTGGTACATGGTTTTGTGATGGATCGAATTTTAGAATACATCAAAACAAGGAAATTGAGTTTAAAGCGTTACATGATATAGGATCTTGAAGCAGACAAAATATTCAATAAAACACATTTTTTGAAGGTCATATCATATTTATTAAAAACGAATTTATCTTTATACAATTTGAATGAACAGGCATTTTCCTCATTAGGAATATTGACGACTTCTAGTCTATAATATTGAAAAAAATTGCAGTAGAACATGATAAGAATCGAGTTTGTTCAATGGGGTGGTAGAATAAATGTGGAGTTTTTTTTCAAATGGAGTCCTGGCGGGTCTTCGATGGCCCTGTCATAGTTTCTTTCGGAATATACATTTTTGGCCAACTAAGTTAGATATAATGGAACTTGACGAGCACTACAGAAAAATCCTGTTTGAGAAACGTATCTTGTGTTTGAACAAAGTTACAGACTAGACATGCTGAAATAAGCTGGGCCAGATCAGCCACTTTATGGCTTGTGACTTCGTTCATAGACAAGATACATCTTCTCAAACATTATCGTTTTGTAGTAATCCTCGAGTTCTATTTTATCTAATTCTGTTGATCTAAAATATTCATTCTACCGGGAGTTATAGCAGAACCTACGGAAGCCCGCCAGGGGCCGTTTACAGTATGATTTGAAGAATATTTGATAACGAAGAATTGTTCTATTTTGGAAACAAATCTATAATGTCATTGACACGGAGGAGAATGTTTGTAGATATCACAATTACTATGAGACAAGTGTAAAGTTTTTAGGAAGGCTTTCAATGCCTTTTCTTCTGGATATTTTAGTGAGAGTTCGACAAAACGGACATCTGACACCTTCTGGTTCTTGTGGCCTGAGACTCTCCACACATTTATGGCAAAGAGTATGACCACATTTCACTGAAAATGTTCCATGTTCATAGAAAATCGAAATGCTCAAAATCTTACCTAAAATGCGTGGAACTGCTCGGCCAACAGCCATATATTTCTGAAGACATATTTCACAGCTACGCAGTGGTGAAGGATCTTGTTCTCTTCTGAGTTGCTCATCGTTCTGATACATTAAATGTATATGTTGCATTAAATTTTGATAGCCGTCAGCTCTATTTCGTTCATATTCAATTGTACGCCTATATTCATCTGCGTTTGCAATTTGACTTATTTCCGTTTCCAAATCTTTGCACTCCTTCTTCCTTTTTCGTAACTGACGTTTTGCTCTATCCTTATATCTAAAACGAGGAAATTAAGAAAAAGATAGAAACATCTTCTTGAATCCCACTTAATTTGCTGTTCCTTGGAATGGAAATATTGTTGGGCGAGATCAGAAAGCATTTCATTCTCGTGTGTTAGGAACTTGTTATCTGCTTCTGCCATCGTCAACTCGCAATTCATGCTACTGAAGTCTCTGAAATTAATCAAAAATACTTTCTTCCTCGTGCTTCCCGATTAAACATACAACTCATACTCCTGTTTCTCCTTTTCCAAACTTCTGACTCTTCTCTCCAAATCTAGTTTAGCTTCCTTTTCGCGACGGTAATAATATTCAGATTCCTCCAAGTCTAAGTAAGCAGAGTCCAATCGTCGCTTCGTTTTACGAATTTCTTCTCGCAGATGCCTTATCATTAGTTTATCATTCAAACGTTCTTGACTGGCAGATCTATTAATCCGAGGATCTGGACCGTCGCTATCTTCCCTACTGCTCCCATCACTTCTACTGTCTCCATCACTGCTCTCTCCATCTCTACTTTCATCATCGCTGCTCTCTCCATCGTTGCTGTCTCCATCACTGCTTCCGCCATCACTGTCTTCAACATCGTCATCATCACTATCGTCAGCATCACTGCTCCCACTGCTATCCTCCTGACGTCTGACTGGCATAGCATTGAACACTGCCCATCTGTTCACAATGTTACCATCGGGCTCTCCATTGTCCTCTACCTCAGTGTCTCCATCTGAATCATATTCACCGTCGTCTCGATAGTTTTCTGCTTCATCTTCACTATTAACATGAGATCTAGGAGGGCTGTCATATGCTCCTGGTCTCCCGGATGAAGCGGATGAATTGCTTCTAGAACGGTCTCGACGCTCTTCACGGGCGTCCATATTTGTGGTTGTTTTCCAAGCTGAAATCAGTAAATAACAATAAAAACGGACAACAGAAACCAATAGAGAACAGAACATCAATAACCTCACAGAAGAATCATGTGGCATAGAAAAGGTTGTGTGAAATCGTTGGAGGAAAGTTCGTGCGGGAACGGAAACGGAGACAACGAGAAGAGAATTGAGAGACACGGAGAGAAAATGGAGAAATTGGAGAAACAGAGACAAGAGCCAGTGGAAGCAAGCTGGGGATTTTTTTGAGAAGAGAGAAGGAAGAACAAGAAGGAAGAAGGAGACTCATAACAGAGAAAAATGTGAGGAAGGTTTTTTATGAATGTTGGTTGAAACTGGATGGCATTAGAAGCAAGAGCAAATCTGTGTGCTGAAATGATACGAGAAGTAGACGTCCACGGTCAGTGCATATGGCCAGAAGAGTGAATAGAGAAGAGCTTATAAACTTATTGGGCAGGAAAAAAGAGAGACTGAGAAAATAAAATAGTGCATTGAAGAAAAGGAGAAATAAGAGAAAATAAATATACTGAGAATGTTGTTTATTGCATAACCAATTAACAGATAGTACAATTCAAACCGTATAACCTGTAATTGAAGGGCTCCTTAAAATCGAATTTTGAGACATTTATTTCTGTTCCTGTCAAAGATGTGAGGTTTTACGTTATTCATACAGTGGCGAACGTTAGTGAGTGTCACTCTATACTTTTGTTTATAACTTTGCTCAAACTTGTCCGATCATTAAAAACTTTTTTGTTAAATGTAGCTGGGTTTCTAACAAAAGTTGTATAAGTTTTTTAAAACTCAACCAATTTTTGTATCTTCTGAATCTTCACAGACGTGACGATGACTCTAGAAGCAAAAAAAAATTTCCGTGAGAATTTTTTTAATGATTTGCTTTGTAATGAAAAATGTTTGGTATAGATCAAATATATACCAAAAAAAATTTGAAGCGGTTTGGAACAATTGCTCTTGAGATGTGCTCACTGGAGCATAAAAGGTATGGTTCAAGAGTTTGGCTATAACTCGGCTCAAAATAATCCAAACTTGTTCAAATTTTGAGAGAATGTGTGTTTTTAATTGCTTCACATTAAACATACAAAATTTGTATTTTGGGAATAAAAAAATACATATCTTCTCTTCGGTACATAAAAATGAAAAAAATAATAATAAATTTTTGTTTCCAAAATACAAAGTTTTGTATTTACATTGTAAAGCATTATAAGAAACACATTCTCTCAAAATTTGGGCAAATTTGGATCATTTTGAGCCGAGTTATAGCCAAACTCCAGATTCATACCTTTTATGCTCCAGTGAGCACATCTCAAGAGCAATTGTTTCAAACCGCTTCAAATTTTTTTGGTATATATTTGATCTATACCAAACATTTTTAATTACAAAGCAAATCATTTAAAAAATTCTCACGGAAATTTTTTTTTTGCTTCTAGAGTCATCGTCACGTCTGTGAAGATTCAGAAGACACAAAAATTGGTTGAGTTTTGAAAAACTTATACAACTTTTGTTAGAAACCCAGCTACATTTAACAAAAAAGTTTTTAATGATCGGACAAGTTTGAGCAAAGTTATAAACAAAAGTATAGAGTGACACTCACTAACGTTCGCCGCTGTACGTATAAGAACTATTTGTTTCTATAAAATTACCAGAAGAGTTGTACTGGGGTTGTTAATTAACAACCCCAGTTATAACTTTAAGCCAATTTTTCGTGGTTTCTGTAAAAGAAGTGGTGAGCTAACAAAACGTTAGCACCAATATTTTGTGAAAATGTTTATCATTTTTTGATATCTTTCACAGGAACCAAGAACGATTGGTTCAAAGTTGACAGTCAATGCGCACTTCTATCAGGGGTTTTTACAGTAATTGTAATTTGGAAAGTTGATCTTCAGGAGAAAAAAAAGAAATTTTAGGAAAAGAGAAGGAGGTGTATTCTGATTGTTTCTTCAAGATCTGAAAATTCACTTTGATTTCCGTGGATTTGTGACAAACTATCTGGATCTACTAAAATTTGAATTCTATGCTTTATTGAGATATTCATTTTGCTAAATTTAAACAACTCTCCAAGTCTCCGATTTGAAAACAATGGTTTCAATATTTCCTGTCCTTTAAACATCATCAATGCTTGTTCATATGAAGTTTTATCAACATTTTTTTTGCATTTATTGCTTCTTTTCTTCAATTAAATTCCTAGAATTCCGTCAAAAAAGGAAATCGTTTGAAAATTAATCACAATTCAGGTTTTCGCAACCAGACCACCCAATTCCGAAGTTGACCTTCATTTTTCGAATCTTTCCTGTCTAGTCTATTTTTGAAATCGTGAATTAGCGAGTGATACGATTCTACGACTTTCTATGACTATGATTCTGATCAGAAACGTTTCCATAATTTTTCAATGTTTGGAAAATATAATATGAAAATATAATATATGTAGTTGTTGTCAAAGAATTTCTGAAAGAAAGTAGCTCACCGTATAACAAAGAATGTCAGTCAACTCGATTGGTATGTTTTAGCAAGTAGCTATGAATATGCAATAACACATAGCTCAGGCTAAAACAAACCATCCGATTGCTGACTAATCATAATCAGTAGGAATAGGCAGAAACAGAATCGCAAATAGACTTCATAATGGAACAGAACTTTGAAACGTTGGGGGAAAAGTAGTCGATTGAATAGAAGGCGTGCAAGTTGAAAGATTGATCTGCATCGAATGAGAAGATCCGAAGTTCAGACGACGTGTGACGTCAACAGTTCAACGACGGACGGCGAGAGACAATTGAGAATGAATAGACGGCAGAAGTTCATCACTTCTATCTGTTCAGTTTCTATTCTCGGCGATCGGAGAACTGCGATGGTCAGAAAATGCAGAATTATGACAGGAGCAGCCGACCGTTTTATCAGTTTTCTTTTCGCCCTATTTCGGGAAAAAAGTTTGATTAAAGGGAGGAGCTTTTCTTGTTTCAAGTGTTTCTATTCATAGATATATTTGGGTGCTTCCGGTTTGGATTGATTGATCTTCCGAAGATGAAAGACAATTCAGACAAGGGTATTCAGAAGGGATGAAGACAGTCATGGCGTTGAAGAGAGAACAGTGCAGGTGTACTAAATTATAGAATGATGAAGGGACTGCTGTACATTTTGGATGAATTACAGACATCAAGTTGTGCCGGAGAACTTAAAAAGAAAGACAAAAAAAAATAAACTGTAATTTGAAATTTTTTTTTACATATAACCATGTAACAGAAGGGCCACTCATCTTTTAACTTTGAGCCGATTTATCTCAGTGCCTGTTAAAGATATAAAAAAAGTTGTCAACTAATAAATTTCTTATGGTAATACCAGCTAGCTGGTGCGCCTCCGGCGCGACGATTCAATCTAATTTTTTACTGGTTCGCTCTTCACTTTTTCTTAAAGGGTCACGTAATAGAAGGGCTTAACACTGCCACAAATTTAAGATGATTTATCTCTGCTTCTATGCAAGATATCAAAAATGTGTCAACAAATAACATGTTTGTGATATTATAATAAACAATTTGTTAGTAGACAACGTTTTGATATCTTTCACAAGAACCGAGTTAAATTGTCTCAAAGTTTCAAGTTAGGGACCATTCTATTACAGGTTTTGCAGGTATATTTTTGAAGGTACTTTTTATGCTCTGAAAGCTCAGCGATTTATTTTTGTTGGATATTTTTCCCCCTATCTCTATTTTTCAAATTCACTAATTTCGTCATAATTTGAAACTCATGAATCCAGAAATAGCTCCGCGGGAACTATAAATAGCCCGATTTTTGATTGACCAATCAAAGTTTTTGATGTCTTTATGAAATAAATAAGTTTTGAATACATGTTTGTATTATGTTTCAAAAAGTCAGTAGCGTCGATTTAAAGTCGTTGTTTTTCAAAACTCACTCTACATACTACAAATTCTTCAAAGTCAAGTGCATTTCAACTCACATGACGCAATTTTCGAAAATCCGGACAGTATACTGTACGCATTCTGTCTAGCGACGTAGTGTTTTTATTTTTAGCGTTGAACATTTCCCGATTCATATTCAGATTTATTCATGTCCAACCAAACCCAAGGGTTTTTTGTTCAATTTTCTAGCCTCCAAACAAACAGACAACACTTGTAGAATCAACTACCGTACACCTGTATGAATCATCTTCATTTCCTATCCGTTGTCTCTGGACTCTCCTCAATTCCCACACTGTCTGATTTGATCTGCATTCCATCAACTTCGGTCTTTCAACTGCCTCAAAACGTCACGAAGTCATCGACGATCTTCCGACGACCACCACCGCCAACCGAAGCACATCATCGGATTCCCGTTTCCCTTGTAGTAAAATCAGAATGTCTCCGCCTACTTTTCCACTCAATTTGACTATCTTTATCTACAGAAATGTTTTTCCTTCTCTTATTTACTATTCCTACTCACCGGAGCCATAAAATACGCTCTGTTTGCTTGGGCTCTCCTTTACCTTTCAAAGTTTCTATTTCCAGAAATTCTCTTATCTTTGAACCTATTATTAACTCCTTCTATTCTTGATTTTCTTTTTTACAGAAATGAAATCAGAGACAACAAAATCCCTCGACAATCAGGATCCTTCTGATATTGTGGTGAGTTCAACGACTTTGATAACAAAATACAAAAGAAGATTATCATATTAGCAAGGTTACTGTACATATTCGAACTTGTTCTTTGGTATGATATTGGGAGGAACAAAACGGATAAGAGGTACTGTAAGAAAAGGGTTGGCTATTGGTTACTTTGTTTCTGAGATGATGAACAGATGTAGATGACGTGAGAATTTCAGAAAACTGAAAATATTTTTAAGTATCAGTAATCAAGGATTAAAACCCATCATTTTGAATTACTGGTTTTGGAATAGGCAAAACAAATTACGGTACACCCTGGGTGTATAGTTTTAGACGTCATCTCAAAACTAGAATACCAAAAAGTCTTATCGGAGCCATGATTGATAAACCATTAGAATTGGAACATTGGATACCGTAAAACCTGTATTAGAAGGGCCGGCCCTTCCAAGGTATCTCCGGAAGGCCCTTCTATAACAGGTTGGACAATAGCTAAGGGTTTCTGTCGAAGTCTGCAGCTACATTCAAACTGGTTTTGCGGAGAGAGCGGCATATTTTACTACACTTGGTAACAACCAGAAATGCACCGGTTCCCAAAAATGTAAATTTCTGTTATCTGTTCCTGGACTGAAAGCAGGATTTTTAAATTACTTAAATTACCATAAAACCTGTATCAGAAGGACCCCATCAATAGGAATAAGAGCCCTTCTAATAGAAAGCTTCCTCTAATTGAAGGGCCCCTGTAATAGACGGACCTCCGGAGGTACCGTGGGAAACTAGAAGTGCCGGTCCTTCTATTGTTCCAGATTACCTCAGGAGAGCTATTTTAGTAGAGGGGCCCTTCTATTTTTAAAGCCTTTTTTATCGAAAATTTTCAGCAAAAAAATCGGTAAATTCTCGTTCAAAAATCTTGAAAATCTTTATATTTCACCAAAATTGAGCAATTTTTTTCAGCAAAAAAGTTTTTCAACGAATTTCTGTGAAATTCTTGATCCGTTTCTTACTGTATCAACCCCTCGTCACGAAATTTCGACGATGTGGTTTTACTTGTATTTGAGGATGTTGTATTCGTTGAAAAACTTGAGCTCCAGTCTACAGTAATCCAATTTGTTTTCAAAACATTTTAGAGTCTCAAAGCTGTTGAGAAACCCGTTTCTTCCAAAAAAATTTTATTGAAATCTATACCAGAATCCTGTTTTTCTCTCACAGAGTAATAAATTATTTTTAACGATCCCTCCACCGTATTTTCGAAAAAAAAACCTTATTATCAATATTTACTTTTCATCTCCTAAACAGACAAAAATTTTTCTGTATCTCTCTTTTCCTTTTTTGTCGTGGAAATCTCATGAGAGTATCATTTCCGTTTTCTTCTCTTCTCTCAATATCTTCTTATTCTTTTTGATTTCTATTTTGAAACCATGAGACGATCTCATATCGATAGTCTCCGATCTGATGACGACTGAAGTTCATTTGTTGTCCGATCGAACCGTATTCCCAAATACAAGATCCCTCTCCATCTTTCTCTCTCTTCTCAGACCCTATCATTATCATCAAATGGGTTTTTGTGGTGGTCAAAAGAATTGAGAAAAAAGGGAGATGTGTCTATTTTTAGGTCACCGTATAACACCAAGCAGCACACTGATAACATGGGGCTTTTTTCTTATCAGTTCTTTTTTCCCATATTTTTTTCGTGTGAACCGAGAGAGACAGGTTAAAAATAGGTGTTGTATAGGCTATTGTCGGACACTAGTCCAGGTTCATGAAGCGCTTTTCTTATCAATAAAAATATGAATTCTCGGCGAATGAAAAAACTGTAAATGATGCTATATTTGGGACAGTTTTTATCAAGAAATGCTCTATTTTTGGAGTGACCTGATCAAAAAAATGATGCTGAAAAAAAAAGATAGTAGTTTGATCCAGGTTATGGAGCTTCGATCTTCTGGAGAATGGGAACGAATCGATTTGACGTCTTCTGAAAGAATGGAGAAGATGAAGGTAGGTGAGAGATGGAATGAAGTTATTTTGATTCAGCCCATGTTTTTTATTAATTTGGATATGTTTGGACCGTAAATAGTTTTTCAGATTTTGTTGAGATGTAGGAACGTTTACAGTATAACTGCAAACTGCATGCAATGCTGAAAATCTGAAAATTAAATTCTCGCAAGATGTAAGAGGTGTCAGTATTACTTCCCAACAAGAACAGTCCCTTAAATACAGTAATCCGTCAAAGTTTGATTGACTCTCATAGTTGTTTCGTCTAATTAACTTTCATATTTTACTAGCCTGGCTGGCGCGCCTCGTTTTCCCGTATGAGCATCCAGCAATATGGCGGAAAATCTTATTAAAAAAAAACCAAAGGTGCAACTATTTGATAACCTAGTTTATTTTTTATCTCATTAGTAGAATACCGTAAAACCTGTAACAGAAGGGTCCCTAACTTTTAACTTTGAGCAAATTTATCTCGGTTCCTGTCAAAGATGAAAAAGAAGATGTCTACTGATACATTTTTTACCATAATACCACAAACATTTTATCAGTTGATATCTTTTTGAAATCTTACATAGAAAATGAGATAATTGAGCTTTAACATTATTGTGTGGGGGTCCTTATTTTACAGTTTTTACGGTAACTGTGTTAAAAAATTTATGAACAACAGGCTGCCTTGGTTTATGCTTCACAGATTTTTTGTAATACGGCCTTAACATTTTCTCAAGAACCACAGTAACCATGTACTTTACCAATCAGTGTACACAACATGAAAAACTTTATTCATCTTCTCCCACCCCTTACTAACCGTTCATTACCAACTACACTACAGTATCCCTTCTTATCATCAAAAGGGTACAATAAAAACAATTCGAAATTTTAACACCCACACATAGAATAGGATCAAAGTAAACTTCCGACAAATTTAACGTCGTCGACTCGTGACGCCTTCTTGCTTCCTCTGTAAAGTTCACATTCCAATATTTTGCAATTTCTCACGATTTGCAAGAGATAGAAAATGTTTTAACTTCGATCGTCAATCTCTCAAATCTCTCGCCGATAACGCTGACAAAAAGTGATTGATAGAAGCCCCATAGTCAATGGTCGGAAGTCGAACTTTTGACGTCGTCACAAGAAATGTCTATCTTCCCTTCTATCCGTTTATCATTTTTACCTCTGAAGTTTGATAAAGAGTTACAGAAGAAAAAAGGAAAACAAAAAGACTAAAGTCTTCTTGGAATACAGATAACACGTACCTTGAAATCATGAAAACATCGAAAAGTAAAAAGATAACTGACAAAAAGACTGAAAACACTCTTGATTATCTTCTCTCTAAATATTTGCTCTTTTCTTTTTCATCTACCGTATCCCTAGATGTGTGAAAACAAAGAAAACATTTGAAGAGAGAGAAAACACATAACAGGATGATCACAAGACGTTTGCAGAATGAGATTCCTTTTACGTCTAGATTTATAGATTTGGCCTTCGTTTGCTTATTTTAGAATCTCGAATCACAGTCCCATCATTACGATAAAAAAACGGAAACCACAAATTTCGCTGATAATCGGTTCAGAAGATCGGATTTTTCTTCAGAATTCCAGTTTTAGTTTTTTCTCACGTGAAAGAATTTATGTTATGCACTTTTACGACCGGGAGGGGGAAGAAAGTACGGTAGGCGAATGATAGTGAAGTTTTGAAATAGAGGAGAAATAAAAAGTTATAAATGTCATCGAAAAATGTAATACATTTTATTTTAGTGTCTCCGGGAGCCAAGAAGTCAGACAAGAGTGTATGTCAATCGATTGCTAACTTCTGCATAAGTTCAGGAAAATTTTGTTGGGATTTTTTGGTTTTTTTTGGGTCTACAGTGCCGACCAATAAGATATATAAGGAAGTATTTTTCAGTTGATTTTCAGTCATTTTGAAACTTTCAGGACTCTGGAGCTCGGCAAGTTTCCGATCATTTTGAAACTATTGGAGGGTGTAAAAAAGACCTCGATAAAAAATTTTGAATTCACGAACTCTTTGAAATAATTATATGGATGCAAAGTTTTCAATCTAGGTCTGTTTTACATTCTAAACAATTTTCAAAGTGATTGGAAACTAGACAGGCGAGCCCGAGACTCCTAAAAATGGTCAAAATTATCAGAAAACTATTTTTCAAATTTCCGGTCATATAACAGAACGAAAAAATCCTGCAAGTGGTCAACGATCGGAATAATTTCAATAGAGCCGATGAGAGAAAAATACAAATTTGAACTTCTGAAAGTTTTCATAACTCTGGGATTTTTTTTCAGGTGCATAAAATAATGTAATCTGGATATTAACAAGGTACAAACAGCATCTGTTATATTCTCTAATCAAATAAGTTTTGTTATTATTTGTTTCATCCGAAACCGAAACTTCTAGAACTCTGATATCATTCCAACTTCTGTCATTTGTTCTTGTTTTCTAGTACACATATAGAAAATAGTTCTGCATCCTGATACGACTAAATAGTATATTGATAATAAATCATTTTGGTTCATTTATGTCTTTGTCGCCATAACCTTCAATGATCATCATCTTTCTTTCTTTCCTTTAGTTTTCCAATTGCATGTGAACTTCACATTAATTCTCTAATTCTGTAAGAATACTTCTTGTTTCCAGGTCACCCAGGAAATAGCAAGCTTGCCACGTGGCATCTGTCTAAGATTTTTGCAGAAAATTCTTCGATGTACAAGAAATTGAAATTCTGTTTCTATTTTTGCAACTCTGTATGTAAATAAATAGCATAAACTTTCCGTTTTTTTTTCAGGAACACATGTTACAGAACACAAAAATAACAATACAAAAACATCAAACAATTTTGAAACTTACCCATATTACATCCCATCATAGAAAACTGATGGATTTTTTCTCCCGAAACAATCCAGTTTTGTCTCTTCTCACAACCTCCACTGATCCATGAAACAAACGGGAGATTCTATTCTTTTTTTTTCCAATTTCCCCTTCTATTTCACCCGTTCAAGATTTTTGACCTTCTGGTCAGAAAATCCGATGAAATTTGAATTTCAAATGATACTTTTTTTCGTGCCGTTTTCAGAATGAAAATTCTTCTTTGAAGAACATAATCTGAAGAACATAATCTGACGGAAGGACTGTACTTTTGGATTTTTTAAAAGGAATAAGATTGTAGTTCGGATAGTTACACCAGAGATCACATTCTGGAATTATCAGATTTTCTTGGAAAATAAGTTTTGTGAAGAAGAACGAAGTACAGAAAAATCCAAACTTTTTGAAATCGTCATGCAAATAAGCAAAGTTTCAAAAAAGTTATTTCTACTTCCAGCAGAAAAAGCCAGAATTGGTAATTGAAAATGTATTTTTTTTGGCTCTCTAAAGTTTTTTCTTTGATCTGATCTGTCATAAAAATAATATAGATTTGCTAAATTTGATTATCGTAAATTGGAATCTCAAAACTTCGTATCCAATAATACTGTAAAACCTGTAAAATAAGGTCCCCACACTATCAAGTTTCAGCTCAATTATCTCGGCTCCTATAAGAGATATCAAAAATGTGTCAACATAAAAAATATTGGTGTAATTATGATAATTAATTTATCAGTTGAATTTTTTAAATATTTCTCAAAGGAACAGAGACAAATTAGGTCAAATTTTAAGTTAGGGGGCTTTTCTATTACAGGTTTTACGGTATATTTATTCCTTTTAATCCAATCTTCTACTATCCCTTGGTAGCCAAACTTTATAGGCCTAGCCAGGTGGTCTTCTTCTTTAATGGGCATCTGAAAATCGATAAAAATTGACTCCTGGTTCTATTTTTAATGATTTCATATTCTTTTTTTTCACACCTTATCTTCTGATTTTCATAAATTACTCTGACCTGTTTTCTCATTAGGATCAACAATGGAAGATCAACAATGCGTGATCTAACAGATTTTAAGTGAGGAGAAATGACGTCATTTTCAGTCCGCCTAATTCGTCTGATACGTATGTCTACGGCCTGTTTTAATATTATAATAAATATGCATAGTTTTTGAAAATCAACCCTCCCACTGATAATATCATTATCTCCGTATGATTTATCTCATTGGAGAGGGGATATCCTCACTGGTCAATCCACTTATCAGATTGATCTCAAAAAGACTGATTGCTTGGTATGACTCCGAAAGTACGCTTTGACGGACCACTTGTCACTTTGTATTAAATTCCAAAGAACAGTTCTTCTGCCAGTACAATTATTCTATGGTTTGTTGAACCTTGTATTATGTCACTGGTGTTCTACGAGAGCTTTGCACCCGGCAGCGAACTATTGCACTTCCGAGAAAAGTACACATCATGCTCTTTTGGGAACAAAAAGCAAATAGTATCCATTTTTGTATCAAGCTTTACGATCCAGAGGTCAAGAAAATTTTTATTACAAATTTTAAGTTTTCCAGAGAAGATCTTTGGTTTCAAGAATAAGAAGAAGAATTCTACGCAGATCAATTATTACCGTTTCTTCGATCAAAACACATTTCAAGCTCCTCCCACATTCGGAAGCCTTGAGACTAACTTTTCCTCGAGAGTTATAATCTCCTTCTACCCATCTTCTTCTCCTTTTTTCTTCCTTACTCCCTTATCTCTGCGTCTCGCAATCTCTCCTCTGATTGCCCCCTTTTTCAGCCCGCCTCCTTTTTTTTGGGGTGGACACGACCGTCCCATAAGTCTATATAAATATATGAGGCCCTGTGTTCTCTGGAAGTTTATTCAGTTTCTCACATCTTCTCTATTTTTGGAGGGGGTGGTTGCTTCTAACCTGACAACTAGTTCAGTTTAGTCTTTTTTACAGTCCGCCATTGTTCTCCTTTGCCATCTGATATGATTCTTGTAATGCAAACATCTTCTAAACGTAACTTTTTCAGAATCATGGCCGACGCCGTGTTCCCCACACAGGCTACTGCCCAAACTCGCTACATCAGCTTGTTCGGTACCAGAACTCGATTTGTGATTATGGTGTTGATCTTATTATGTTTGACGAGTATTTGGTAGGTGTTCTTGATTTCTATAGCCTAATCATTTTTTTTGGATTTCCCAGGTCCAATATCCTTGCCTTCAATTTTGCTGTTATCTGTATGGATGACGATGATTCTGATATGGATACGGCACTGAATGGAACAAGAAAGACTCACTTCACAAGTAGTAAGTACAAAATCTTCTATGTTAACTTTTCAATTCAATCCAAAAGGAAACTTATACTATCATTCAAACATATGACCCTTCCAACAGTCTTGTTATCATCCTATCCTCCTGATAAACACCCTCATCAATCATTTCCATCATCATCCTTCCCATCTTTTCAGCGCAAAATTCGCTGGCCATGTCGATTGTGGCGATTGCCGCGTTGCTGGGCAACTTTCCGATTGTACAACTCGTCGGAATGGTCGGCATTCGGACAGTGTTCGCAGGGTTGGGAATCCTCTCCGCCGTCTCGACTCTTCTGATTCCATTGTCAATTCGGGTACGGTTTTTTTCTGGTGAAAAAGAGGAAGAAAAATGTATAATAGTAGGGGGAAATCAAAAATCAGTTAAAGAGAAGAAAGAAGAGAGTACAAAAGGGAAAGGGGAAAATTTGGAATTTGAATAGAAGGACGGAGAACTACATCTAAAAACAGAATGCGTTCAAGACTGGAAGAGTATATTTTCTGCAATTTCAGATGGGTTTCTACTACTTCTTGGCAGTCCGTTTTCTCCAAGGATTCGCTTTCGCCGCTAACTTCCCAGTCATTGGATCGTTCTGTGCCAAATGGTCATATTTCAAGCAAAACGGACTTTTCGTATCTTCATTGGTCGCCTACGTCCAATTGTCTCCAGCTATCACAATGCCAGCATCCGGTGCCCTTTGCTCTGCTTTCAGGTGAGTAATCATTATTACCAGTCATTTCTTAACAAGTACTTCAACGGGTCACATCTATTGTTATTTTAAGTCAGGCGCCTGGTTGAATATGGCGAATAGTTGAACGATTACATTCTGGTAACTGGTAATTCAATTGTTTTTGATCTATTGCTTACCAGCAGGCGATTTTATCACAAAGAACTATAATCCTCTTTCTTTTTCTGTTTCTCTGGATGACAATCTGACGAACTGTCCGCATCATAAAACCAAACGTTCAACCCGAATGATTTACGATCATGTCAAAACAAGAACATTTTACAACCCCTTTTTTCAGATGGCCATCAATCTTCTATGCCCACGGAGCTGTATCTCTTCTTCTCTTCGTCACATACGCCCTGTTCTACCGTAACTCTCCACAAAAACATCCATTCGTCGGAAATGTTGAGTTGAAGAAAATCTCAATTGGAAAGATCGCAGCTGTCGAGTGAGTAACGGGCTATTGTTAGGGGAAATTAGTAAAAACTATAATAAGTTATCTTGATACTAACTGTGACTTTTCAGCAAGCGTGCTCTGAAGAAGGTCCCATACGGAGCCATCCTCAAAACCCCAGCCATCTGGGCTGTCTGGGTCGCTGCCATTGGAAACTTCACTTGTGTCAACATGATGTTCCTTTTCTCCCCAGTTTACCTCTCCAAAGTTCTCGGATTCCCAGTTCATAGTACCGGAATCAGTGCTGCTATCCCACCATTCCTCCAATTCCTCTCCAAATTGATCTGCGGAGCCATCTCGGATCGGTTGACCTGCCTCCCAGAACAAATGAAATTCAGAATGTTCAATTCGTTTGCTTTCATTGGATCCGGTGCCTTCCTCTGTGTTCTGGCATTCATGGGAGATTCCCACAAAGATTACAACATGATTGTTTTGGGATGTGCTGCTGCTATGTTGGGAGCTACGACCGGAGGATTCTTCAAAGCAGGACCAGTTCTTTCAAAGCAATACAGTCATTTTGTAACCGGAAACATTTCACTTGGAATCACAATTACCATGTTGATTGTTCCGTTCTTCGTGAATGCATTGACTCATAACAACACACAAGAAGAGTGGAAATGGGTCTTCTTGATCACAGCTGCCGTTATGGTAAGTTGGAAATCTTCAAACATCAGAAGGTTTATTCTTCATTTTTCAGTTCATCTGCAACGTCTTTTTTGTTATCTTTGTGAAAGGAGAACCATGCAAATGGACTTCCGACAACTTCCACCGTGCCAGCTCTGTCGCTGATTTGGAAAGAAATAGTGTCAGAAACCCAACAATCTCTACAGTATCCCGCAACGTGGAAGATGTTCCAGAGAAGCTCTAAGCAGTTTCTGAAACACGGTAGACACCTGTACATAATCATATTTTCTCGAAAAACAAAAACAAATCCCAAAATAATTAACTAAATTGCTCGTTTGTATAGGGCAAAATAATAGTAACTTTATCTGAAAAGTCAATTTCAGTTTTCTATCCTCTCCTCCATTCATTCCTTCTCTCAAGTTTTCTCATATTGTTGATCTCAAATTCAATGAGTTGTTTGATATTATTTGTTGGTTCAAATGTTTTTTCTCCGGAAAACTGCTACTTTTTATCTCTATTTCCGTGTATTCGGTGCATAAGATGAATTGTTGTAATAAAACTTTGATGATCTAAAAACTTTTTTTTTTTTGAAATTTCAGAACGAAAAGTCAGGCTCAACAGTTTTTTTCCCACGCGTTTTCCGATGGAATTCAGGCACCACCGAGGAGCGACTCAGCAGTTCAATTTGCAGCTTTCGCGTCGAGACCAACGCTAATTATACTGTAGTTTTAAGTAATTCGCATTCACGCGCATTCACAAGACGTTCCGAAAAAACACCGTGAAGCACATGTGAAAACGCAATCTGAGATACAATAGGATTACTGTAGTCAACTAACTCTACCGACCAGTTAGGGATTACGGTAGTTTAGAAATCAGTGTGATTTTCGGATTACTGTAGTTCATCAGAAACGACGCTAGGATACTGTATTGTGAGTTCTTCAAAGACGTGGAGGATTACTGTAGATTTTAATTGTTAACGCAATATTTTCTTTTTGGATTAGGGGTTACGGTAGTTTCTATTTTCAGCAGAATTTCGACCATTTAAGACCAATTTTTTCAAAACATCTGTCTTTTTTGGCTATTTTGGACAAATACCTAGGAATTTTCACAAAGAAAAAAAGTCTTTCATTTCAATTAACATGAATTCAAACCTTTTATTGTCAGAAAGTATGTGATTTGGGTAATTTAAAAAGGGCGGGGTGGAGAAAAGGGAAGTATTAAAAATTCTATGTACATTTTCGTGTTTTATCAGATAAATCTCTTGTTCAACAATTCTGGAACTCTTGGGGGAAATCGGGTGTGTGGGAAGCAACTCGTTGTTTTTTTGGGGCGAGAGAGAGGAGCTAAAGAAATACAGACAAAAATATGGTTAACCGGGGGGCGCTTTTATATAATAAAAGAAAGGGAATGGCTGACTAGAATGGTTTGGAAATGAAATATAAAACTCAGTTATTTCTTCTTTCTTCGTTTTCTCCATCTTCTGGAGCTTCAATTGTGACACGTGGCGTGCGGACAGTGCTTGCGTCGACCGTATTTTCTCCGTTCATTTGCCCGTTCATCAATTGGTTCTCCACTAAAAAAAAATATTCTAGGACGTTGAAAATCAATATTAGTAACTTACAATCTTGGTCAGGGTTAAGACGGAAAGTGGAGGTACGGACTCTTGGTCTCGGAACGACTGCTCCTCTACTGTAGATGTTGCTCAAGGCTTCACGAAGTTCTTTGACGGCAACGACTCCAACAAGACGTCCTTTTTCGGTGACATAGGCGTGGTTGAGAGCAAGAAGGGAGAAGAGGGTGTGGACCTAAACTTGAGAGATTTGAATCATTCTGATGTTGTTCTTAATTCTCATTTTAAATCAGTTACTGAAACCTCTCAATACCTTGTAAAGTGATGTTCCTCTGACTAATTGGAACGGTGCTGGATCAATTGCAACTTCCTCCATATCCAATTTCTTTGACAAAATCTCGGCTCTCTTTGCCAACGAATGCTGAAATATGGGTTGGTGATTCACATGAAAAAGGAGACGGAAATGAAATCACAACACAAAAAACAACAAGTTATAAAATTTTTACTATTTTTATATGCGTCCGCTTACTAAAAAAAGAACTTACCACTATTGGCTCGTGTTGATTGGTTTGGGCGTAGAGAAGAGGGGCTAGTGGACTGCGGTCTCCCTGAACAGATTTTCTACTTTCAAAAGAAATTTCAGATGCGGGGATACCTGATCCTCGTGGAGTGGAGATTGTGGAAGTAGGGTGTTTCCAGAGATGTTTCTATCAGTCATCAAAGCATTTCCAGAAGACATATGACCGCCGTTGGCAGCAAGGGATCCACGTCTAGAATACTTTCTGAATAGAAGTGGGAATTAACAACATGCAACTAGGAAGCAGAATACTGTGGGGTGCATGCACTAGGAAAAGTGAATCCGTGCAGTGACAAACCACAAATATATACACACCTTAGATTGTGGATCGTGCTGAAGATTTCCGATGCGGTGCGGCTTCTGAAAATGATAGAGAAGTTGAGAAGTGAGAAGTTGTGCAGGGAAAAAAGAGAAGGGAGAGTCATAAAATTCTAGATTCTAAATTCAAATTTGTGTTTGATTCTAAATTTGTTGCAAAACGAAAATTTTAGAAGTACTTTGTGAACAATACGATCAAATCATATGCAACCAAAAAGACTACATCTATAATGCAACTATCCTACAATCACACCAATCAGTTTTTTCTTGTAACTTACACAATCTTCGATTTGATTGCCGGTGCTCTATAGCTGTAGAAAACACAGTTATTTCAACTGTCTCAAAATCTGTTTGAACCCTCCAACTAACCTTCTGCGGTGTCCGAAAAGTTCTGGCTCGGGTCCGAGTTTACGTTGAATGAGATACAAAAGGTATTTGCGAGCGACAGATCCCAATAGTGTCATTGAACGGGAATCGGTGACAAATGGATAAGAACGAAGAGTCGGAGTCTCCAGAAGCATCTCTCGAAGCTCACGGTATGTAGTTTCACGGGTAATGTAGTACATGTCTTTTACCATAATTCGTTCCACTTTCATTTGATGCACACTAAAATTTTGGGTTGTTTCAGAATCTTGAAAAAAAAACTCACCTCATACGTGATGGTGGCAAATCGGCAAGGTATGGATATCCGTTAATTTTGATGATCGAATCGTAAATAGAGGGTTGAAGGAAAGCACATATAGCATTTGAGATCATAAGAGCAATGAGCACTGGTAGAAGAGCACACAACTGTCCAGTGGTTTCACACACAATGAGAGCAATGGAGAGTGAGTGAGTAACAGATCCAGTGAAGGAAGCAGCTCCAACCACAGCATATAGTCCAGGATAGATTTGAGGTTGTCCAATGCCGCGAAGTCCATACGGCCAGATCATTGAGATAATTTCTCCGAATATTCTACCTCCACAAGCTCCGATAACGAAGCATGGAACGAAGATTCCGGAAGGAATGTACAAAGTAATACAAATTGGGACAACGATAAAGTAGAACAAGAAGTAAAGCAATAGAGAGTTGATTGGAGCCATGTCCCCTTCTGGACCAGACCAATGTTCCAACACGTGTGGGGGACATCCTTCGGACCCGTTTGTTTGTTTCCAGAGGGTACAGTTGGAGAGGAAGTCGACAAGGGTTTCACGGAAGGTGTACTTTCCAGCCACGTAGCTTCCGAGGCCATTTGGATAGACGAGAACAGCGAAGATGGCGGCGCAGCAGGCAGTGAAAAGAATTGGGCTGGAATTAAGATGCGATGATTTTCAGATAACTTATCCATGAGACGCTATTTGACTTCCCACCATACTTGTCGACGAGCCAATTCCGGGCCGTCACGAGCAGGTACTCGCTTCAAAATTAAAATCGCGGGCAAAACATCACATCAGATGACTGAGCTCGGCGAGCTCTACAACCTTCAATAATCATCGACCAGGATTTAAATCAGTAGTTAAGTGTGGACCGACATTTTTTTTAGTAGCAGGGCCCGCAAAAACGTAGGCCCGGCTAAAAATGCTGACCCGGACCATTATGGACCACTTCGAAGCCGGTCGATTCTTGGTGGAGGTTGTAGAGCTCTCTGAACTCTATCATCTCTTTTACTGCTTTGCTCAATATTTCAAACTTGAAGCAAGTTATAGTATGCTTGCGTCGCATTCTTTAATATTTCTCTAATTGTGCAAACTTCAAGTATGCAGACATGTCTACACTAGGTCTCAAACATCAATACACAACCTTTCCCTCCTTGAATGATCAAACTTTTTCATGATATCTTTTTGATCCCTTCCCTCGAAAAACCGAAATTATTTCCGTCCATCGCTGTTCAATGATCAAACCATTATTCTCTTTTTTCTTCTTCTCATTCCATTTTTATCTTTGGAAATGGAAGAGATATTTTTGCAAAAATAGAAAGGAAACCCCTTCGTTTCACTAATCTATTGTCTATCCATTCAGTTTGTAAATCGATAACTAAAGTTGACATAACACATTCCTTAATGTGATACTACAGCACTGATCAGTTTTAAGAAAGAGAAAGAGATACACAGTGTTGTGTCTGTGTTATCAGAATAGAAGCCCTTTTATCATTATCATCAAAACTTCCGTCTCTTGTATTTTTCTAACACTGAGGTCAGAGCGAAGTGGTTGCTTTGATCTTGTCTCACCTCTTTCCAAAAAGGGCTTGGAAGATACGGTTTCGGCGCTTGAAGAATGCAATTCTCCGGTGATAATAAACGAAAAGAGCTCCAAGAAGTCCAGTCATCACTCTGAAAATTCTTCTTCTCCTCTTTTACTGCTTCTCCTCTTTTAATTTTCACAAACCCAAGACAAACGAAAAATCCGAGTTCTTCAACAACAAACACTTCGTTCGGGAAATAAGTTTGATAATAGGCAGTGATGGTTCCAGCAATGTGTTGTGGCACGAAGAAAGTGATGGCAAAACGGAAAAGCATGGCAGAACAAGTGGTGGCAAAGAATGATCTCCAGTAGTTTTTGACAGCGAAGTATTTGGATGTGGACTCAATACCGTAGAGTACAGCTGCAAGTATTTATTTTATTGGGATCTCATTGGAAAAATGTTTAGAACATCTGGGATTTCGAAATCAATTTTTCTCGATTCTACAAAAAATTTCAAAATCAAGAAGAAATCTTACCTCCCATAGGTGCCGAGAAAGTACAAGCGATTCCGACAGCACATCCGATACTCAACATTTCCATAGCACGTCCCTCATTCGAGAAAAAGGCATTGTATTGACAGGCAGCAGTGATTTTGTTGAGCAGAGAAGCAACGATAGCTCCAATGTGCACGAATGGTCCCTGAGAATTTAAAAGTTTTAGAATAAACTTCTTGATATTTTTAATATTTAAGGTACTACAACTTCTGGTCGGAGGATTGGTCTGATTCCGGATAAGAGCACTACTAGAGCTGACGATGATCCGCTATTCAGCCGTTTTGGGCAAGTTACGACTAAAAAATTGGGCCAATACAAATCCGTCCAGAAGCCGAACCACTCTCCACTTCTGACCAATAAGTACGAGCCAACATCAATTATAGTACAACTTATTTTAATTGAGCTAAATCATACGAAAAAAGAGCACTCACTTCTTTACCAACTGGAAGACCAGATCCTATTGTCAATGTCAGTCCAATCATTTTTGCAATCAAAGTTTTTCCAGATAAATAATTCTTCAGTTGGAAACCATGGATAATAACTTTGACTTCGGGGATACCGGATCCTAGAAAATTTGTTTCTTTTGAAAACTTTATGAATCTAAATACTCACCAACAGCCTGTTTCCCAAATCCATAACAAACAAGAGCTGCCAAGTAGACGAGTCCAGTGATATAGAAAACCCATCCGAGGAATGCGGCGTAGTTGTTGTACTGTTCAAGCGTTTCGAGAAGGAAGTTACGGACTGAATTTATATTTTTAGAGTGGAATTTAATTTTTGGGAACTCACAATGAATAAGATATTCAATTCCAATATCGATGAAAATCGAAAAAATTGCTGTAACGAATCCAAGAGCTGCGGAGATGAACCAGTCTTCCACGAAGAAATGCACAATATTTTGGAACTGACCTATAAACTAAAAATAAGGAAAACGACTGGGGTTAGATGAGCTCTCACGCGTTAGAAACTCTCTGGTTGTTTCTTTTCTGGATGATTTCATATCTGAATAGTATGCATCGTATTCCTCATCAATCTCATTTTGGTCCTCGGTGTCGCTTGATTCGTCATCGCCTAACAGCTCCATGTGATCCGCATTTTCTTGTACCCTGGAATGTTAAAAGTTTTCTATTTAATTCGAATACGAGAGAATTTCTATAGTTCTGAATTTCCAATTGATTGTAAAAACTATATTTTTCTAAGAGAATTTTTTATTGAGGGTCAATTTTACTTGCAGTTTCGGACACTGGGTACCAACTCTATTATCAAAGTTTTTCCACTAAAATACCAAAAAAGGAACTATGAAGCAAGATGATATTCGAAACCATCAATTTCGGGGTTTGAGCAATTCTTACCATCGAAACTGTCTGATAAGCTGTGTCATATCGAGACGAAATCTGATAGGAGGATAAAGGTCGAGAGACCTCGGAAACAATCGACGCAGTCTCTCTGAATACGAACAAATGAAGCTATGAGAAACGAAATGGGAAAAGGGAAGCAGGAGATGAACGAGGTGAATCGATCTTTCAAAGACAAAATGCTGACGTCATCTGATCAGAGACAATCAGGATATCAGACGATGCTTTTCGCTTTTATTTTTAGATCGAAAGTCAAATTTCTGAAATTTCTAGAAGCTGTGAAATTATGAATTTCATCAGATGACATTGAAACCTCAACAGGAAAGTAAAGAGAGTTCACAGTCCAACAACCAGTTCACCCAAAATCGGGGAAATAGTATGGCGCAGAGAATCTACGGGACGCTCTTCTGAATGCTATTGATTGAGAAATGTTGGTGAAAAAAGAAGAAGAAGACAAGAAGACAATGAATGTTCTTTGGAAGTTGAAAGACCGATCAGATAGGGGAAATTGAAGGAAAGCGAGAAGACACTGTTTACCATAGTATCTACTGCAGATTGAGATTACAATTGGCCATAATTTACATTCACTTTCCCGTGATATGAGAGAAGAGAAAGGAGCCAGTTTCCATTCACAATAAACAACGAACTTATGAAACATAAACATGTTAAAGAGTCCAAATTTGAATCTAATTCGTTGGCTAATTACAAAATTTTTTCGAGAAACCTATTTGCTCTTGGCCTTGTCTAGGAAATGGGCAAGTTTCCGGAACAATTCAATAGTTGAGTCAACATTCCTTAAATAGACGCTGACAAACATGAGTTCTGATTCAACGTAGCGATTTTTACAGAGGTGTTGCCGTTTATGATTTTTTTTCAAATTTTGCTGAAGTTTCCTTTTCGAAATGTTTTTTTAACTAGTTAGGAAAAGCTCCAATTTTTGAAGAACTACTGTCGTCAGTTGCTAAGAATATCGTACTCTTTTTTTTGCTAAGAATGTATATCCATCATTCTGTTTGGTCCGGCAACCAGCGATCATCAGCCTATCAGTGCCTCTTCGACTTTATTCAACAACCTATTTTTGAGTAGTTCGATTGGGAGAAAATCAGCTTTTATGATTATAATCTAGCGCGAGTAGGAATTTTTGATGTCTGCCTAATTTGCAATTTAAACTTGCGACTCTTTAGCTGCCATTTTGCGCCTCTTTAGCTGCCATTTAGCAGTTTTTCTGCAGTTTACTTTCAAAACCAAACCCTACAAGTAGCAATTTCGAGATCTCAAAGTAAATATGAGAGTAAGTTTTGGGATAACTTGCAAGAAAGGTTTCGAACTAAATCCCTATACCTGAATACAGAATCATTCCAGTAAAGCATGTTGGAATAATTTCAGCGATGATCATCGCGATGATATATTCCCAATTCTCTTCTGTTTATGGTACTTCTCTTGTAATCTAGCGGCCCCCTACTTTCATCATAACACAGTCAATTTTTTTGTTTCGAAAGTTCCTAGTAATCACCTGGTATAAAATCAATAAGAATCCCCTCTTCTGGTGTCCTTTCTCTACTTCCCATTAGATGTCTTATTTGATTCTGTCTCAATGATGGCCGGAAGCAATGTTAAGGAAACAAGTCTATTTTCGCCCACTGCCCCATTTGTTTCTCATGATACACCTAGTTTATCTTTGAACTGAACTTCTGGATTCTCCTAGTTTCGTACGCTATTTCTCATGTTCTTCTTTGATTTCGATTCAATGAATCAAAGTTCACAGGCTGTGTCTTCTTTTGTATTGGTAAAAGTCATTTACATAGAAAAAGCTAAGAATAGACGAAGAATCTACTCATTTTTTTTTCACTTCCGATCCGTTTCGAATCATTTTGATGAAGATGATAATTCTGGTATTTTTTGCAGAAAACTGTGATATGACACGGTGCGAAAAAGAGGAAAGATGACACGTATTGATGAGTCGTCTGACTAATTGAACTTATTGAAGTTAATAGGAGAGGGATATGTTGACACTTTGGACTATGATTCTATTTTTAGAAGCAGTTGTACTTTTTGTAAAAAGAATCAGGGAAACAAATGGGAAGAAGTCAGCTGAATTCTGAAATCATCTGGGCTTTTTATAGATATCTTTTGAGAAAAATCCTGTTTTACGGGATATATCAGAAGGGCTGGTCTTTCTATGGTTCCAAGGTCTCTCTGGAGGGCCCTTCTATTAGAAGCGTCCTTCAATTATAGGGTGCTCTTCTATTTTTCCGGCCATTTCTACCTAAAAATTTCATTTAAAAGTTGGTGATTTCTTGTTCAAAATTTGTTAAAATCTGTGAATTCCACCAAAATTAAGCTAGTTTTTGAGCAAAAAAGAGTGTTTCAACAAGTTTGTATGAAAGTGTGAGATTTTCGGAAAATTTTTCACTGAAAACGTTCTGAATCAAGTTTTTCTTCTACGTATATGTAGGACTTTTAGTTCAAGCTCTAGCGACAAACCTATCACGATAATCATTCCAATCTTTTTCGGTTGGCTCAATAGGACTGCATTCGACACTGTAAAAATGGAAGCACATCACAAACAAAAGCATGCAATAATCCTTACTCATCCATTAACATATGTGGTCTAGCTTTAAACTGCACAATATCAGATGGGAGGCTTGATTGATCTGATGACGTATCATCTCCCCGTCGACGTTGATGTAGCAGATCCTCTTCGACGACGTCGATGTCTCCCATCCTATGAAAAACTTATGTCAGGCGAGCGGAAATGATAGAAGAAGAATTTGAGAAAAAATAATTGAAATGGAAAAAAAGAGAAAAGAAGAAGGGACGAACTGTTGGCTGATGGCTGGGGTAACTGACTGTAGGTGGGTAGAGAAGACGACACACAATATCAATAATTCAAAATATTCTCCGTTTTCATCTTCTTCTTCTTTTTCTTTTGACATCGGCCCATTCTCCTCTTCTTCTTCTCTATTTCTCTCCAAATCGTACAGGTATATCACTGATCGACGCTGACAAGAAGTGGGCGGAGCTTGTTGAATAGGTGTTTCACAGACATTTTTGACATGCGCAGGACAAAGGTTTACAGTAAAAGAAAGGGAATACTTGCGAGCTTTTGCAAAGAGAAATGAATAGCAAAAAAAAGAAAGAGGTGATAGGCACAACAACAACAATGTTTATCATTTGTTTATTTTTCGTTTTTTAGCTTCCTAGTCTGCTTGATGAGTTATCATTTGGTTGCCAGATTTTGTACTCCATTGCTAATATATAAATTTTAGGTGAGTTGTTGAATAAGATTCTGGGATAGTCAAAATACTTTTATTATGCTAAAATTTAAGTTCGACGGCTCCAACGTTTCCGATGCTTCCTAGCTTTGAATATGTGTTAAAAATAGATTGCCCAGTGTCGTTTTGTGTTCGACCAAAAATATTATGGACAGTCCATGTCTATTTTTAATCGTTTCAATACACTTTTGAGATGTTTCATTCATATTCAAATGTTTCTTCGACGAGCTAAATCAGGAAATGAAAAAAAAAACTGTAATGCCGAAAATTCCCAAATTCAAAAACATTTAGTTCACAGGTCGATTGTTGGATAGTTTACCGTAGAACCTATAATAGAAAGCCCTTCACACTGTCAAGTTTGAGATCATTTTCCTTGGCTCCTACGCAAATTATCGAAAATGTTTCAACTAACAAAACACTTCTGACATTACGATTACCATTTTATCTGTTGACAATTTTTCTATAACTTTGACAGGAAGTGAGATAAATTGGCTCCAGATAGTGGCCCGTCTATTAGAGGTTGTTTCGAAGACTCACTTCAAAGTACTTCCATCCTCTGCAACACTCTCCAATCGTCCAGCTGTCAATTCAGTGACTTCAGTGCCTCCCTCTCCAGACGAAGACGTTGCCTGATTATTGTAGTTCTCATATGGCAACGTCATCAGAAGAGGGAACGCTCCTTTGTCGGGGTTCACCGCGAACAAGATGGTTGCTCGCGGCGATTTTCGACGAATTCTTTCGAGGAAATCCAGCTTGATTCTGAAATTTTGATATTTTTCAGAAAAGAAGAAGAAGCTGAAAACGAAAAAGAAGGACGAAAAACAAGTGAGAGCGAGGGGGCTTCAATTGCGATATAGAAATATTGTATTGTGGATTGTCTGATTGTCTGATTGTCAAATTCTCTTTTTATTTTCTTAATGTGAGCTGCTTGAGAAAAAAAACCGCCTGCACACATTTGAAGATTGATCAGAAAAAGGATAGTTCAGAGTTATGACGTGGCAAAAGAGCAAGAAGGAAGCTGATATAGAGAAAGGAACAGGAAAAAGAGTGGACAATGACATCATTCGACATTTTTGAAGAGTACAATTGTTTATTTGCTTAAGCTGCTTGTTCTTCTTGATTTGTTCCAGATAATATCTTTGATTCTAGAAAGGCTCGTAATTATAAAATTATTTGGGTCAGACTTCATCTAACAGCCAAACGAAGTGTAACCATACTTGCAACTGGCCGGGGTTTTTTCAGAGCTTTCAAGCTCCTAGGTTCAGTAAGTTTAATTGTTTTTCAATTGTTTTCCTTTTCTTCCGGTCTTTTAAAAAATTAAAATATTTTCTGCCAAAGAAGAAGTTGCCAAAGAACGGAGTGCCATGATTTTTTTCCCAAAAAATGTGAAAGAAGTTCTGAATCTTCAAAAACTTTTTTTCAGTTTTGGAAAACCCAGGACTACAGGGCCGTCAATGCCCTGTTTTTTTAATAGCTAGAGAAACTGTCGAATGTGAAAATTTTGGATAAGACTATTGCTTTTGCGTTTCTGATTATCTATACAAGATCTAATATAAAATTTCAAAGTAAGATCCCGAACAACAGATAAAAAATATAATCTGCTCAAAACCTAATCCTCTATTATCTATCAGCTGATAGCAAGATGGAAATCCTAAAGAAAAAAAAACTCCAATCCATGCGTATTTCCTGTCACTAGACATACAGATTATCATGTGAATATCCAATTGTTGAACAAAATGCAAAATGCACTTTATCTTTCTCTCCACCCATTTCCACTAAAATTCTGCCAGCCCCCTAAATACACAAGACACCAACCAATCACGGGTCCTCCGTGTTTTTTTTTCACGATTTTCAAAAGGAGATTGTGGTGAAGAATGCTTGAAAAACCGGAAAGAATGGATGAAGAAGAAGAAAAAGTGAAGAGACATGTTTACCGTTCAATTTGCCGACTTTCAGCTTCTCTAAATCGCATTTTTGGGCTGGATTAGCCGATATAGGGATTCTCCCTAAAAAATTTCTGAATGGTGACGATAAAAACGGAGAAGAAGAAGAGATTGAAAAAAAATTATTATTCACATTTCAATGCATTGTGATAGAGATGAAGCCGTTCTCATGTTATGTCTATTGACCTAAGCTGACGTAGAACTCCCAATATGGAAACCTTAGAATCTAGTACTTTGGCCTACTAGCAATTTAGTAGAATTTGAGATTTAGTTGTACTAATAGGAGTAATGTGTCATAATCCTTGGTTGTTCAAATTCAAATTGGCTGGATAAGAGACAATTCAAATTATCAAAAATGATGCCCATTTATTAATCCGAAGTTTTCCAAGAAGAAGTTTCCGAATTCTGATTCGAGATGAAAAATAAAGAAAAGTAAAATTTTGATGAAAAATAAAGAAGAGTAAAGGGAACTTCCGTGGAACTAATGAGAAATAAATGAAATGGTCGAATAGTAGACTAATTATTAAAGTTTAAGATTAAGAGAACTGATGAGAAAAAATTGGTTGTGAAAAAATTTTGTTTCTGAAACAATGTTTTTTAAAGAACATGAATTATACAGAACAAAATTATCAAGGTTCAATAAATTATAAGATTTGCCGTAAAAGCTGTATTAGAAGGGCCCTCCAAGAGGGACTTGAAAAAAACAAAAGATCCCCCTGTAATAGAAGGGCCCCCATTCTAAATGTGTTGTTTGAAATTGAAAATTTCAGTTCTCTACAATGAAAAATATTCCTGAAATTAAACTATTTTGCAGAAACATGTTGAAAAACATTTTTTGTTTGAAAAATTGCTCGAAATATTAAATACGTTCGGGTGAAATTGATAGATTTTCATGAATTTTGGGAGAGAGTTCACCGAATTTGTCAATTAAAATTTTGAAAAAAAAATTCCCGGAAAAATAGAATAGCACCCTTTAATTGAAGGGCCCTTGTAATAGAAACGCCCTCTGGAAGTACCTTATAACAATAGAAGGGCCGGAATTGTGACCAAAAAATATCTGACTAAACTTTTCAATCAAAAAATCCAAAACAGAATAACAACTTAAAAAGGACGTCTACTATAAAATTCTAGAGTGTTTTACTTCCTTTTCCAGATTATCTGATGTCGGAAAAGTATTTAAAAACGCTGACTCATTTTCAAATGGAGTCAGTTAGTCTGTTGGTGCTCGTCTCCAGCCACAAAATCAGAATAAATTTGTATTTCGAATGTCGTTGTACGACAACAATTACTCGGCATAGGAACTAGAGTGTTAACCTGATAAGATTCTTTTCCAAAAAAGTATTCTTACCAAAACGAAATGGGAGGGTTTTATAGGTTTTAATTTTCCGGAAAATGTTTGATGCTCGAGAAGAAAATGACCAAAATAGCTTTCCGACATTAAAAATATAATGATTTTGGAATTCAGATAGACAACGATTATGTCTTTTAATTCTTCTGCACCGGAAGTCATTTTTTGGGGTGGCCTCTTTTTTTCTTTTCAGACAAAAATGACTTCCAAAAAATAGGAAATATGACAAAAAGAGGAGGTGTGTGCTCTCTCTAAAATCGAACGGAAGGCAAGGAGGAAATCGCTTCGGATTTCAAAAAAAAGTGAATACTCACAGGGAATGAATTCATTTTTTATGAGATTTTCATCTCGATTTTCTTGACCAAATGCTCTTTGGCAACAAGAAAAATGACATGGGAATGAGAGGGAAAAAAAAATAGAAAGAGTGAGCAAACAAATTTGAATGAGAACAGATGGAAACAAAGGAAAAATAGTGTAATAGGTTACAATGTGTTGGTTACATGAAACGGGTGTAAAACTTTTAGGAGACCATTTTCAAAATTTTCAAAAATTTACTACAAGAGCACTCGAGTTACAATTAAATTATGCTCCAAAATATTAGAAAAAGCTTTTTAGCTCTTCAAAAAAAATATTAAAAGAAACCGGGGTTTTAAACTTTTCTATCCTAAAATATTTTCTTTTCTACACACGAAAACCTTGCCGAAACTGATATGTCTCGTCCTACATAGCCGCTAATATCTTTTTGAGCACCTGGAAAGGAAATGACACACCAGAATCCCTTCATCATTGATCGGATCAAAGCATCGGAAGTATCCTCTTCGAAAACATCTATGAAATACATACAAGAGTTACAAATGAGAAAAAAATTCAAATGCTCAAAATAAGTATTGACACTATCAGGTAGGTTATTTTTAAAACGCAATGATAAGAGTAACGACAATAAAATCACAAAGATAAAAAAGGTATTAATTTTTGAAAAATATATGTAGTCTTGAAAACTATCTAAAATGACTGACCAGTGAAAACAGTCATAGGAAAAATAAAAATGAAAAAAAAGAGATGGAGAAGAAGAAGGTGGGGATGAGTTTGTGAGCAAAAGATAATCCTGAAAAGAGAATAATAGGATAGTGATTAGAGAGATATCTAGACGCAGGTGTTCGAGAAGGGAGAGTTGATTACAATGAAGAACTTGATTGAACGTGAATGATATCAGAATTAACACTTCTTCTTCAGATAGGAACCACCAGAGTGTCTATTGCTCTTGATTGATAATCTTTGTGTTAAACGTTTTGCAGGTGGGCGGAGTTTAAGATGAGATTAGTGAGAAGATAAACAAATAGTGAGACTTGGGAACGGAAATTCGAACAGTAGGATTCTAGGAAGAGGAATCGAACAAAAATCAAGGGTTCTTTCAAAAAACGTGTCGTTTCAAGACTTTCAGTCGAGAGTATGAAACTTGCAATATCGCACGCACTCTTCTGAATATTAAACTGAATATTCTTATTCTTCTCATTTCTCCAATAATCCTTGCCCTTATTTTTTTTCTCTGATTCAATACATCCTTCTAAAGTACAAGAAGTTCAAAAAATTGTGATGATTACAAAGTTCAAGTACCGTAAAACCTGTAATAGAAGGGTCACGTATTTTTTAACATTGACACAATTTTTCTCGGTTTCCATCAACGATATAAAAAAAGTTGTCAACTGATCAATTGTTAGTATCAAAAGTGTTTTGCCAGTTGACACATTCTTGATATCTTGCAAAGGAGCCACGAAAAATTAGCTCAAACATGAGAGTGTGGGGTGCCCTTTTATTACATGTTTTACGGTAGTTGTAAAAAAAGAAACCAAGAATTTTTTTATAAAATCATAACAGATGTGAGAGGGATATTTGCCTTCTTTGCACATTCTCCTTCATTACTGTGTCTGAACTGGAACGATGAGTTTCCTGGAACCTTCGGAGCACCATAGCCAGGTTTCATGTACAAACTGAAAATAGGTAAAAGAACAATGGAATTACGGAAAAAGAGAAAAAAAAAAACTTACAAGATGTCTTTCTTTTTTCCCTTTGTCACTAAGCCACCATTTGCTCCATAAATGGATTCAAAGTCTTCTTCTGCTACTGCTCTTACTGTAGTATGGACTCTGACATTCAATAATCGTGCAAATCATAGTATCTAAAGCCAACCTTTTGATGTTATCACCGACTTCTGCTTCATGAAAACCGTAATCTTGTATAGTGTCAGTCATCATTTGTTCCCGGAAATAAGGCAACATGAAACTCTGAAAAGTTTGATTTTCTCATATACCGGAGTAATTATAGTTACAATTCCAATCCAGCTGTTCTTCTTGAACTCATTCTTCACATCCATTATTGGATCTTCTATAAAAATAGTTCCAAACGAATAACAGTACTCTTCTCGAAGTTTGACAGCAGTTGCAAGAAGAATATTCGCTGTGATTCCTTTTCCATACGACGCGATTATTGCTTTCTTGGTGATTTGCCTAATGTAATGATAACAAATTTCAGCCACTTTCACCGACTGTTTGAATGTTGATCGCGGTGCATTTTTAGCTAGAAAATGTTATTTTACATTTTTACGTTTTCAGAAATACTCACAAACAGGCCTACATAATACTACGTTCTCTCCAAAATCATCAAATCCACAATCGTCAATTACCAATAGGATTTTCTCGAGATCCTCAAGCGTAGTGTTCTTATCTCTTACATAAACCCTACAATCATCATTAAACTTGGAACTTCATAAAGCTTTGATAAATCCTACTGAATGTTAACTGAAGAACCAGCTGCCATTAAATTGGTTTCCCATGCTAAATTGGACGCTTTGAGTTGACTGTAACTTTCGAGACGTTTGCATTTCCAATCTTGAATAAAAAAGTTTTTCGTTCAAATTTCAAAGATGCTCTTTACCAAGTTTGGTGTTGAATGGAACAATAACATTGGGATACATAAAAGAAATCAGGCACGGTCCCAAAACGAAACAGACTGCCAGAAAGAGAATGAAAAGAAGTAGCTGACCGACGTTTCTAGAACCACAGTATCAAAAAAAAAATGTTGGATTGTGCTTTTACGAACCTACAGATCCACACATGAAACTCAGAATGCCAACGAACTCTTGGCGGTTTATCAGGAGCGAGAACATCCCTGTGGACCAAATTTTCCACGGGCTTATGGGATAGCTGACGAGAAGATACTTGCTGTTGAGAGCTCATTCGACAATTGACCTATTAACTTTCTTTCAGAAATGTGGGCCTCTGTGAAAGAAATTTTGAAATGTGTTTTTTTTTGTGCAATTTTCGAAATGTTCTTGATGACGTAAAGAAATACATTTATTGGAGGGCATGACCCATTAGCACAATAGAATGTAATGGGATTATTTAACAAGGATCTTCAACCAATATCCTAGTATTTTAACAACCGAATGATCTCTTAAAATGTGGGGGGGGGGGGGGGGTTTGAGAACTGGAGAAAATTAGAGATCTAAATTTTTTTAATGATTTGTTTTTGACAGATTGAACGATATAGAACTATTAATACTATTACTATTATTCTGCTTGTGTTTCGAAAAACTGTTTTTTTTCATGTCAGAAGTTAGGATTTTTTCAAAGAATACTGTTCGCTTTTTTTAATGTTCAATTTTCTACAATAGCTCTCAGCGCTTTCAATTTAGGAAACAGTGGCGAAACTCTGGTGGAACTAAGTTGTCACACTGTTGTCACACAAAATTTTTTATCTGATTTTGTGGAGTTCCAATATGATTCAAATAATTCTTAAAAAATTAATTAGTCGTTATAGATTCATGAATGGTCGTTTTCCGGAATAAAAAAGGTAAAAAATGGTCATTTTTTAAAGTTTTTTACAGAAAAAAATCTATCTCCTCTTTCAGTTTTTGACATTTCTAGGAGCTCTATAGCTCAAAAAAACCGCAATTATTTTCTCTACATTTTTCTATAGACGAATTTTTAATTCGTCTGATAAAACTTTTTTATAATCAAAAAACAACTCAAAAATGCTATTTTGTGCAATTTCATGAGGTTTTTGAATTATAAAAAAAGTTTTATCAGACAAATTAAAAATTCATCCATAGAAAATGTAGAGAAAATTATTGCGGTTTTTTGAGATATAGAACTCCTGGAAATGTCAAAAACTGAAAGAGAAGATAGATTTTTTCTGTAAAAAACTTTCAAAAATGACCATTTTTGACATTTTTTCTTTCGGAAAACGACCATACATGAATCTATAACGACTAATTAATTTTTTAAGAATTATTTGAATCATATTGGAACTCCACAAAATCAGATAAAAAATTCTGAAATTATTGTTTTAGACCTGCAATTGTGATCGCGCCAAACTTTTTTTTCTGTAGATCAAAAATTAATTTGCAGTTCGGAAATGTTCTGTGGGAGAGCGTGCTGTTTCCTAAGTTTTGGAGGTGCCCTCGAGCGCGCTTGCCCGAAATTTTAATGAAAGTTCAATTATTTAGCAGCCTGTTGATCGGACTACAACTCTTTGCGGCATAATTCTATTCGAACTTTCCATCTCCCACAATCAATCATTTGTCTTCTTCCTCTGAAAAACATAAAATTAGCGTAAATAGGGTTAATATCACCTACATCTTCATTTGATAGGACGTTATCAAGCAATATATGCGCACTTTCAAATCTTCAGACAAAGTATGGCATAAAAGTGACTTGTAAAATCTCGACGTTTTTAAGGAAGACTCACTATATTTAGGGACATTTTGCTGGAAAAAGATCATATGAGTTACCAAATTACCGGTGTTGTTTAGCTACTTACACTTAGAAAACTTCTGAAGTATATAGAATATACCATAAATTTTTTGACCAGACAAGTTCCTTTCTCGGTAAAACCAAATTTTCGTATCCGTATGAGTTTGAAATTTGCTCACTTCATTCAAAATCTTGGCATAAAATTACTCCAAACAATTCTTTTAGTCCTGCCATTTCCCGGCTATGAGTTCAATTTCTAAATATAATATTATTGGTAATTTCTTCTTACTTTTTTCGCATTCTTCTTTAAATAAAACATGTGAAAAAACGCACCCGTAAATCCACAATATGGGGCATGAGGGTTTTTCTTTCGATTTTTCGGATTTTTTTCTCCCTTCCAAAAATCCGATGCCTCGAGCGAGGATCGAACTCGGGTCGATCGCTTCATACACCAGCGTGTAAACCAGTATGCTATTCGATCGACAAAATTTCTAGTTGTTTTTGATATATAAATAACTTCTCATTATCGTCACGTGAAAATGCTTATAATTATTTTTTTTTTCAAAATTTTCATGAGGGTGAATGTCGTTAGTTGTAAATGAGTGTTTCTAAAATTGCCAATTTTTGATCTTCTCATTTAAAAAATCGAAATTTTGTAACTCCAAAAATGGGTTTTTGAATTAGGATAATTTTTTCCAAAGTTGTCAGAGAAATATACTTAAATTGGTAAGAGACACATCTATTTCCTTTAATAGAAGCCAATGGGCTTCAATTTTTCAATGAATTATTTTCAAAATAATTTTTATTCAAAAATTCAGAGATTTGACAGTTCGGAAGATAAAACTTCTGAAATTCAGTGCTATGGAGAATTCTAAATGTTCGTTCTGCAATTCTAAATTCCAAAGTTCCGAATTTATGAAATTCTGTGATTCCAGGATCTCAAAGTTCAAAATTCAGGAATTCTGAAATCCCGGAAAAATGATTCTAAAATTCTAAAAAATCAGAAATTCTGAAATTTAGAAATTTTCTAGTTCTGAAATCACAGTTCCAAAAATTCTGGGATTTTGAATTACCGTACTTTTCTAACAGAAGCCCATGGGCTACGGTATGTTCCAGCCAGAATTAATACATACTTTCAAATTTTGCGCAGTTTCTCGGATTTCCCAGTGGAAGGAATATCAGGCGTTTCAGGCTAAGCATAGAGCTTCAAAGTTAATGATCTCGGAAAAAATTGAATGAAGAAAGTAATGAGATTTGCGAATATCTGCGAAATTTTCAGCTTTTTCTCTGAAATATCAGGCTGAAATGCCTTGCCGAAAAACACGCGTTTCAGCCTAAGCCTAAAATGAAAAAAGAAACAATATTATAAAAAAATCAGTCATAAAGTACTAAAATTCTCAAATATCAGCAAAATTTCCAGTTTTTTCACTGTAATTTTTTATAGAAAATTCTGGTTTCTGTTTTAATAGTTTATAAGGGAACCTTTTAAGTTGACCCTCTAATTTGCACAAACTGACTTCACAGGATGAAAGAGCATGTTTGAAACCCTATAAAACGTTTTCAAAATCTGCTTCTAAAGTGCTGAAATTTCAGTTTCATTACCAAAAAAATCACTTTTTCAGTGTAAAATCGGCAGTTTTCAAATTTCATTTTCTCCACTTCTAGGAGGTTATAGGACTTGAAATGTTTTGTGT